CGGTGTCATAGCAACTGACAAGGCTTTATCACACCATATTCACCTCGGGGCGGGGCATTAACCCTTAATTGAAGAGATAACGTTATAACATTACAGCCAGGACTGCCCTACTAGCCGGAGGCTATTAAATGAAGGGCTAGCGGCCCTCATAACTGGACAATAAAGAACTTGTGACGAGTCCTGTTGTTGATTATCTGCACCTCAGTTTTTAGTATCACTGATCAGACTGATTAAATAAGTGACCATAATGACCTTAAGACAACTACCGGTAAACCCAAGTGACTCGGAGTGAGTATTAGCAAGGACGTTCTGACGACAAAACAGCTTCATGTTGTTTTTTAACCTGCAGGTCCATGACCCTAAATGTCCCGAGATCGTAATCTGGGTCCAGCTGCATATGATTGCCCTTCGGCACTAGCAGGAAAGAAAATAACGGCGTCTTGTAGGCATGAAGTTGACTCTTACCTCTTTCAGTTCGTTGTAAATTCTCCCTACATGAGAATCTGCGAAGGAAGAAAATTTGTGACACGATATTAAACATTTCCCAAACTGCTGTTTCCTCAATAAGGTTCTATTACAAATATATCCCGGGGTAGCACAACCTTGGGCGTTAAATAGAGTAAACATTTTATATTTCAGTGCTGTGAAATAAGCCATGCAAAGCTAAGCTAAGCTAAGGTATCCGGAAACCAAATTTGCAAGAGGGGACACCGTTAACATGAACAGGTGGCTATTTCACATATCAAGGATAAGCGCACAAGACCTCATGCATCGCAATGTAAATATTTTACAGGCTCCTCTACATCTTGGCGAACTAGCACAACAAGTAGTTCAAACTCAAAGTCTTTGCAAGTTCAATGTTGCACTCTCCCAGTTGGGTTTACAATACAACACTTCTAAAATACTCACAGAGCTGCATGGACTTGATTTCATCCATGGTTTATAAGCAGAGTGGTTTCGTACCGTATAACACACAAACAGGGACAACAAACATTAATCAAACCACAGGAGACAGTAAGACAACACACCCGGCCCGGCCCAGCCAAGGATACTTGTGGTACGCGGAAGTGAGGTCAGCTGCGCAGTCGGGTCAGGCCTCTTCCATTCGGAATGAGGGGGGTCCTGAAAGAACTATTCGGCTGAATATTTGATAATAATAGTGGTCATAAAGAACAGCACATAAAAATTAACGATGGTAAGTTTATTCATTGCAAATATATGTAAGTGCCTAAACATACAGCTGGTGTGAACAAGGAGGTTCTAACCTCATTGGTGTGAATGGCACCCATCAGGAACTTAAGTGGTACAACCCAAAAAGTAACCTGCAGGTCAGGTCAGTAGTAAAACGTTACGTGCTCACGTATGTAAATAGGAGTATAGAAGAGTACGGTCGGGAAGGACGTCTGTCCATGAATTTGGACCGCTCTGTCTCCTCGTCGACCAACTATTTGTGTGCTTGTTATAATGATGTGTAGTTGTACTTGACTGGGTGATACTACACGGAGATGCAAACCTTGCTTTCAAGGCATTCACGGAGGGTGCCTCAACCTGTACTAGAGACATTTGTAGTCACCGTCACTGCGTCACAGGCCTAGCTGTGGCAACTCTTGATTCGGGCTTACATTTCATTATCCTCAGCTGAGGGTAATGAAAAGTGTAAGCCCGAATCAGGCCTTCCTATTAAAAAGGGCTTCCGCAACAATAGGTGACAATAGACAAAATGTAGCATTTACCCTTAGACTAGTATATGGAGGCCATTTGCCCTGGGACATTGGGCTTTGATCAGTTTCAGAAGGTGAGTTAGCTAGTGTGTTCTGTGGTACAGTACTGTACTGTATCGATGGTGTGTATAATTACATGCATGTCCTAGTCCTTTCCACATGAAGTCCATGAGGCCGGCTCATTTGTATGTACAGTTTTATTTCCATTTTCCACATTCACCATTATAATACATATGAAGTACTAAACAATGCACACAATTCTGTTCTATTTGACAAGATTTCTGGGAATGTCATTGTCACACAATATAGTTTCACCACAACCATGCTTATAATACAAGGAAAACTTTAAATGCAAAAATACCAAATGTCCCACATGATTTGTAGTATCACAACACTTCCCAATGATGACAAAAAATAGCAACACAATATACTAGTAACCTTATCTATTATACCAACAGCAAATGGCTTTGGTTCCATCAAGGAAGTTCTTTGGTCCCATACATAAAAGGCCATGAAAACCTTACAGGAATGTTGCTCATGTCATGTTTATTTTACCAGTAGATCACACTCAGATTGGTGACCTGTTTAACAGGTGTCCCTGTGCACACAAAACTTTCATACACATGAATTAGTAAAACAACATGAATTACATGTACATGTACATTGACATTTTACAAATAATGTTGTAGAACTTAACTTCTGTATCTGTATCTGTATAGCCGGTATAACCGCCTTTCGGCGTAACACACCAACTTGCTCTACATACATGTATGTATGTATGTAACAAAAAAATACATTTTATCATCCTTACAAATACATTATTTTTTCTTCAAAACAAACTTTTTTAACAATGACAACATAGTGAGCTGCAATTTTCTCAGCACTGCCTTTCACTGGCTAATGCAGATATCACTTCACATCACCAATATAATTAAGTATAGGGTCAAGATTATGGAAGCCAAAACAGTAACAGTTTATTACAAATTCCATCAAGTTCATTGGAAAAATTGGGCCTTATGGTTCCAATATACTGTACTAGTAGTACACTTTTGTTGATGGTGATTGTCACTTTTACACAATCTGGAGGCACATGTTTGGATGCTGCTCACACATATACTGCCACATGATTTTCTGCTCATCTAAACTGAAACCTTGCTTGAAAAAAAGTCTTGAATATCCAGGTTAGTACACATCAAATTGAAGCTATGCAGGCAACTCTGAATCTGATGTGTACCTACATTGATCCATGTATTGAGTTTATTAAGCAGTTAATATCAAGACTTTTAAAAGTTCTACATAAACATATTGATAAAAAGCCAGAAATGTCTAAAATTTCCATCTTGTCATGTATAAAATCTGATACAGAATCTGAATAGGCACACCAAGTGACTGAACCCATCTGTACATCTTCTGAATATCATAAAATATATTATGGTTTTTGTCATCTTTAATCCTGTAAGAAGTATAAAAATAGAAACATCCAACCAGTAGATCATTAAATTTTCCCAATCTCTCTTTAATAATAAGTAAATGTGATATTCACAATGCAGCTGAAAATATTTCGGTGGTATTTGATGATATAAAGATTCCTCTAAAAAAATAGACATCAACATTATCACGCAATAGTGTCTGACGCATTGCTGAGAAATGTGGGTAAGTAGTATGATAATAAGTATGGTGAGACAGGGTGTGTCGTACAGGAGGCAGAAGAAATCAGTTATAGACTCTGCTGAGGTAAATTTTGTGTTACTGGCAGCTGGCTACTGTGTAGGGCAACAGGGAGAAGGATATAGGACTCTTTATCTATAAAAACTTCCTCATAATATCCCTTCCAAACACAAATTGCATTCAACAACCTGCAGGAATTTATTAGGCAAAAGATTCCATTGTCCTAGTCATTTCCAGGGGCCCTTACAACATTCTTGCACTTCATACAACGAGCAGTGCGATTGGGTCCCAATGAGGGGACCTCCGTGGGTGTCTTGCAGAAGTTGCAAGCAACTTTCGGTAGCTCTTTCAGGTTGAAAGCCTCACAGCCACGATCGATGCCAAACCCTATGTAGAACTGAACACGATTGTTCTCAAATTTCTTTCCAAACATGCCAAAGATTTTGGGGACAAAGAACACCTTCAGGGGCTCTCCACTGTGGTAATGCCCAGTGTCAAGTTCAATCGTCCCATGGAGTTGCTCTCGTGAGGAACACACTGTACCTGTCCTCACTTCCAACAAGGCCGTCTTGCTCGGATCTTTCCAGAACCTGTGTTCTTGGCTCCACTCTCCAAGCTTGCTGCGGTGAACCAGTCGGCGGATTCCCTGCCCTTCTTCCACACCAAGCCATTCACGAGTCTTGACGTAGCGGTGGACCAGTCGGCTGAGTTGCTTCATTTCAGGAAGGAGACGTTTGGACTCTGCGAAGTATCGGCTAGAGCCAGACTGTTTCTTCTTCCCAATAGCCAAGACAGTGTTCAGCACATACAGGTAGTACACAGCGAGAGGGGACTTGGGACTCTTTTCATACCAACGGCGTACCTGAAGCAGAACATTCTCCAGAGGATATGACTGGCTACAGTACACATGTCGAATAGCCAGCAGCCAATCTTTCACCTCCACACCGATGTCCATCGGTAGGTTCTGCTCATAGACCTCTTGAAAAGTGCATTCAAACATCTCAATGATGTGGGCAATGTCATCCTTGGAATGGATGTTCTCCAAGCTGAGAAAGGTTCTCTTGTTCTGTTTGGTAAGGTTGTGGTGTTTGATCTTCAAGGCAGCAATCCTGCTTCTTCTGCTTCGAATACTGTCAGCCCCTTCCCACCTCTGCAGCGCCTCTCCGGCATTTTTGAACAGCACGTTGAACCAGTTAATGCACTGTAAGAAACTGTCATTTCTCATCAGGTCTTCATATGTGCAGCGGTCCAAGCATGCAGCCATGAGGTGATGACACTCAGAGAAGCAAGAGCTCAAGAATTCCACAACGTCCCCAGGTGCATCATCATCATCAAGGTAGGCAAAGTATCCAGAGGGATAAAACCTCTGCAAAAAGTCCACTATCTGCAAACGGCAAGTGATCTCCCCAATGTACCCAAAACTTTCCTCCATGCCTGGGACAAGCAGCTCTCGTGACTTTGTAAAGCAATCCCTCGCAAGTACAGCTAGATCAGACACTTTCTTCATGACGTCGTGGATGTTTTGTTTTTTAGGGTCAAAGTCATGGTAGAAGTTGGAGAAGTCACCCAATTTACTCCCCACTGCTTCTGCAACTCTTCTGCTGTACAGAATCCCATACATATGGTGAATTTGACACAAGACAGTGTCCCCACTTGCTTCATCCTTTCTCCTTGCATACTGGTAGGACCTGATCTCCTCCTGACGAAGATTGAGCGCTTTTTCAAGGCACCGTTCTGCTTCTTCGTCAGATGCCCTACACATAGCATAGAATCTTCCCAGATGTCCCCAAAAGTTGGGATCACGAGGGAAGCACTCAGTCAAGGCTTGCAAGACAGCAAGCCTTTCCCTACTGTTATCATGGAGAGGGATATCTGTGATTATCGGGGACATCATTTGGCGCCTTTGGATGTCATCCTGTCCCATGGCCTTGTAGTCTCTGTTGATGAAAACATCCCTCAGGACACGCATGAGAGCCGGGGAAGCCACGCCATTCTTCATCTGCCTTACCCCTGCCTCTCTGATGAACTTGCAGGCAAATGCAGACAGGTGCTTCCTTGCATTCTCACTAAGCCTGCCCTCCTTGTCATGCCTACCTGTCTGACGACAGAGGATCTGCTCAAGGATCTCTTTGGCAACAACGTGGTGAGTGACTCTCCATGTGTTGTCCTCCTCAAACACAAACTGCTTCCCCCCATGGGTGAGATACTCAGTTGTGACAAGCTCATCGTGATCTTCCCTCACTCCAAGCAACTTAGCAAAGAACTGCTTCGGAACGCCAATGTGGCCATAGAAATAGGCAAGGGCTAAGTACCCGACAGCAATCTGCCATGCCGCCAGAGTACCCTCCTTTGGAATGTCAAGGTATCCCTTCACATAAGATGATACACCCATGTATTCATTATCATATGCTGTAAGCCCAAACTCATACACATGATGCACTGCCACCCCTTCAGTAAGAATCTTCAGTGCATGTTTCCTTTCCTGCTTACAGTGAGGTGCAAAGACACGCTCCAGCCTCAATGCTTCGTCCTTGTCAACAATACCCTTGAGCCAAAACTCATTTCCACGCTGCTTCTTGTCATTGATGGGCATATTACTACCCTCTGGACATACAATATGATCAACTTCACATTGTAGCAGGTGTGGAAAAGGCGCTTCACCAAGATAGAATCTTGGCCGTCAATCAGGAGGACAATTGGAAGGTAAGTCTGTTTGTGCAGCCACTCCAAACGACTGTGCAGTTCACTGATTGTCATCGTGTCTGATGCAAAGACACAAGGCACTGACTGGTGGATATCCCATAGAATGCGCCTTGCAAAGCATGTCCCACCGCCTCCAGGGGCATGATACAAGGTGATCAATGCAGGCTGGCTTCTTATGACGTGTCTCATAACATGACTAAAGACATCGTCATACAGTGTACGACGTGCATCGAAGGAGGACAGATGATACTCGTACCACGTCAATACCCCTCCTCTGAGGAAGCTTTCACCCAGATGGGTAGTTTGGGTATCAGGCTTCTCAAATGTCTCGTTCATGTACAGAACATCCAGTTCTCGTTGAAGCCAGCAGGCATCGGAAGCGCTGACCACCAGTGGTTCCGAGCCTTCGGGTACGGGAAGCTGGTATGGCTGACTGGATGCCCTTACCTCATTGTCTCCTGCCATCTTTTGAAGGCCCCAACAGACACACTCGAGGGGAATTTCAATGACTTTGTCGATTTCCAAGGATCGCACTATTGTCTGCACCATTTCCCTCGATGCTGTAGCCTTTGGAACTTCAGGCATACAAAGCACTACCTTGAGTGGATCAATGGCACTGTCCATCTTCATCAGTAACCGATTCAAGAAACCAAGACCTTCTTCATCTGAATACCACAACACGACAGCTGTCAGGAGGGTGGTATCATGGCAAAACTCTGAAAGAAGATTACAGTGAGTTTCAACGTCTTTGCCATACTTCTTTATCCATGCTCGCTCAGACCCATCTACAAGACTGGCCTTTTTATGGACATGTCCTCTCGGGAAGAACCAGTCAGTTGACCTGCTGGATAGACTGTCCAGGTTGTCTATGGGGGTGGAAATGGTCAAGCCACGTGTTGACTTCAGCTTCTCTTCGCAGACTGACAAGACACCATCGACACGACTTTTCTGATCAAAGTCAAACACCTTAAGCCAAGGTACACCTGCAAGTGCCTCTAGCTCTCCAAGATACCGCGTGCCCTGAGCACAGCGACTGAGAATGAGGCAATATGAACGCCGACTGTCAAACTGATCAACTGCCTCAAAGAATGATTCCCATTTCTCGTCATCTCTTCCTAACAAGGAGAACCTCAGCTGTGCCTTGGCTGACCTGGGTGAACCGCTCTCACGAAACCAAGCAAAGACTTTATCATGGTTTTGTGCTGGGGCAGCTGCATTGCAAGGACCATCACGGCACCAAAGATCACCTTGATACCACATACCATGTTCAAGAGAATCTTCTGCTATGCAGGGTTCAGTGTACATTGAACCAAAGCAGGGTGGGATAACAATAATACCCAACAACTTGCCCTGATACTTGAGTTCTTCATACCTGAAAGGAGGCTGGTAGGAGAAGTACTTTCCTGTACATGTATCAAAAAGATTCTGGTAGTATGCATCAAGGTTTGTGTCCTTTAGTCCAATTACGTCATGTGGAGGTGAAGATTTGCAATGAACTCCCATCACTATAAATGCTCTTTCTTTTCTTTTCGGAGTGTTCCACATGGACACAACATCGAGCATGAAAGCTGCTTGCCCTTCGTGTCCTTCATAGCTTTCTGTGAACTGAATATTTGGTCCTGCAGGTTTCTGCAAAAGTGTGTTCAAAAGGTCATCAGAGATATCTGTGTTAAAGTAGGGCGTTGATGGAGGCAGTCTGCCATCTGTTGACGAAAAGCTGAAACGAGGTGAAGGAGAAGGAAAGAATGAAGGAGACCCTGACAGAGACAGTGACAAGTGCTCAGACTCAGCACTGTTGCGATTTACATGCCTACTTTGCGGCCTCACAAGCTTCCAATCATCCTGCCCAAGGTCTTGACCAAAAGAAAGTGGTCGGGGAATCATTGGACGGATACCAGGGCTTGTGGTGCGAGATGATGATTTACTCCCTGGCTGATAACTATGACAACTTTGAAAGTCCAACTCGGATTCATCATCGTTGAACTCTGAAAGATTTGGCTCCATTCTCATTTGCATATAAGCAGAATCAGTGGTGTCTAGTGGTTCCTCAGAACTTGGTGTGTCCTGTTCAAACTTCTGCTGAACCATGAGCCCTTTGTCTGTCTGAACCAAGTTGAAATGAGGGGATTTTTGCAAGAAAGCCTTCAGGGGACCAACCCCTAGGCTTTTAAACCTCCCATACCTGGACTGAAATCTCTCCGCAAGGTCTTCATACTGCAGGTAGTATTGATTATCATAGTTTCCTGGATTGATAATCGAGTTTAAATAATCCACTGCCCGTTGGGTATCATCAGTCTGCCCTCCTAAATAAAGCAGGAAAATCAATTCAGTAGTTAGATTTTGTAAATACTGTTGTGTATTACATTATCAAAAGAGACTGTTGGTTAGGCCTAGGAAAATTAATGTTATGTTCCTGGTTTCAATCCTAAAAAAAAATTGGGGCAGAAGTTTTTTTTTTTTTTACATTTTGGCTGAAGTGATCCAACAAGTACCAGGACTAGCTATGGGATCAGTCCCTCTGTTTGCTTGTGGGGAAGGATCTGGTTCCTGTTACTATCATACAGAGTGAAATATACTACATGTATATCTGATACTTTTACCAGTTGTCCAAACTTGCATCTCCCATATTATCATATTCCCCTTGAGGTACAATTATATCGATGCCATGAAAGATAAAACTACTAGTATGCCTGATAAAATGCCTGAAAAATTAAAAACTACTTTTCATGGAATTCTTACTACATGTTACATGTATACGAACATGATGTATCTTCTGTACCTTTTGATGAAGCTTGCCCTCGTTGAAAGTACCCGACGTTATGGTGTCCAATCTGAGAGTTTTGGATGGTTCCATAGTTGACAATGTGGATGTTGGTTGTCCCTCCATTATTACTACCTGAAAAATGGCATTGTGTTCAAAGGCTTATTAATTAGGTCAAACTCAAAACCCAAAGTACACATGCACCAAGCTTTGAAACACAGAGATTAAAAACTTGGGAAGAAATTGACTTTTGAGTTCCTACCACAACAAAGCCTGGGTGACATATCAAAGAGCAGTCAAAGTCAAAATTCTTGTACTAGGAGGGACTCCATGATACACTAGATACTAGTACCTCGCCCTCACAAACACACACACACAGACACACACACACAAATACACACACAAACAGACACACACACACACACATGCACACACACACACACACACGCACACATAGACACACACACAAACACACACACACACAAACACACACATACCTGATATACTGGTATTTCCATCAGCCCCTGGTGTACCATTATTTCCACCATGGTCCTCTAGCATAGGAGTGGGACTGGGTGCTCTCTCTGGAGTGATGGTGCCATGGGAGGAGCTGCTGCTTGTGGACTTACTTGTACTTGCACTTGATTGAACACTGGCTTTGGTGTCCTCAGCTTCTTTTGTATTACTGGCCTTGCCATTGGCAAAACTGTCATCAGGAGTGCTTTTGACTACAGTTGCCATGGCACCTCGTGTGGAACCCTCCTCTCTGCCTTCTTGATCCATTAGATCTGCATGTTAAAAAAATCTGTTACACTCAGTATGATTAATATTTTATATTATCATACCCTTGTTTATGGGTTAACCCCAGTGTTTAAAAATGGTCCTCATTTGTAGCCTCTACCAGGCTCCGGTAAGTGACTGTAGAAATTGGCCAAAGCAAATAGACAGATAACATGCCGGGGAAATTGAGTTGGTCTCCTAGAGGACGACAGAATAATGAACCACTTTTCATGCAGGTATAACCATATATAACCAAGGACATCATACGCCTTGTGAAAGTGACATAATTTTTATACATGTCCTTGGTATAACTAAGTACTAGTATGCCAAATAAATGTAACGTACTTACCTGTAGTCAGAGTCTTGCCATGTAGAATTGATTAACAGGTCCTCAAGCAGTCAGCGGACAAATGCCAACTCCAAACGTTTCCGCCATTTTCCAACCGTCCGTCCCCAGTCTTGCCTCTTGCCTTGGAGAGGGCCTTGTGAAAGTGAAAGCAAACTTTGCGCCTGTCTTTCACCACAGCCCGACAGACCGTCCCTCCAAACACTCGCTACAACTTTCTATAAACTTTCTCACGCCGTCGGTCACACAAAAGTTACACAAAACTTCAGCGACACGTCAGTCTGCCGGGGGCATAATGGCAAACGGTGACAGGAAACGTGGCGGGGAAATTATTTCCAGTCAACTGGGGAATCCCCTTGGTCGAGCGCCCGTCCAAAATCTCTGAACGGCTCCACAGATTTTTTTGAGTCAATTCGTCCCAGCAGGGGAAACTAGTCCCTTTGATGGACGGCGACAAGCAAGCGCTACCGTAACACTACCGTAAAACTGTCACAGCTTCGCCAAGTTCAACTCAAAGTGAGTTATTTTCTCGGTTGGTCGTCGAGGTGTGCTGAGGTGTGACGGACACGGTAGATCACGGCAGACTCTTTCTCCCGCAACGTTGACCTCAGGATATTCGATCTCCCTCTACCTTTGGACTCCGTCTTTCTCGTCTTGACAAATTGTTTTAGGCCCTGGTGGCTCCGCGGACCCAAAAAAAAATAATCAGTTCCTTCCGACTTCCACGGGGAGTCCAACTTTCGGACCGAATTTCACCGAAACCAAGCGAAACTAAAAATATCCCACTACCGCATCAGAACGAATGTCCTCCATATCAGACCACCAGGCTAAAATCGTATAAAGGCAAAAAAAATCAATCTTCGATCACGAATTTTATATTTTGATTTATTTCTGATCACCACCTATGTAATATTACCTAGCATTGTACATCTACCTGATTTTAAACTATTACAGATAGTGGCATTAGTCTGCTGTCCCTTCCCAGGATGCACCAGACGGGACAACCAACGCGCGGCGAATTTAAATACAAAATGGCGGCCAAAAAGTAACAACTGACGATTTCAGGCAAAAATTCACGCAATTTCTGCGTTCTTTGGGCAGATAGAAAAGAATTAGATAATTTCGGAGACTTTTGCAGCTACAAAGGTACGTAAGATGCCCAAAACTGTCCATAATAAACAACCACAAGCAAAAGCTTTTGGTGGGCTAGGATCTAGGACTCTAGGAGGCTTAAATTAGTGGGGAGGGGGGCGAAAAAACTCAAGATCAAGACAGACGAAAGAGTAGAGTAGACTGAGTAGAGTCATTCGGCCAGGTAGGACAATCTGTCCAGTTTAGATAGCAAAAAATTCTTCCCCAGTTCTAGATTGCCATCCATGCAAATTGCTATCCAGTTATAATTTATGCTAATTTCTAATTGCCATGAAACAGAAATTTATTCTGTCAAAATTGAAATAAGTTTTTATGCTCAGCTTCAGATATAGGTCGTCAGGATGGAAGTAGAGTCCAGTCACACCAGAAGTGCAGCAGTGTTTGAGCCAGGTCTGTGCAAACCTGTGCCCACATCTGCCACTAGCACAAACTCCAACAGGTCTGTCTACAGTGACATCACTCCTGGTCAGGACACACATGAACCAGTGGACGCCTCAGTGTTAGTGGAGTTAAAAGGGTGAGATTGTTAAACTGCCTCTTTATAAATACAATGTACAGGGTTCTCACCAGGATTTTTTCATAGCATAGAGGTCAGGTACAGAAGAGCAACTTTCGTGGTGCACTGATGTACATGTACATTGAGTACTAGTATATAATTTAGCATTGTTGACTAATGCATGTGTTCAAAATCACATGTAACGTTACATAGTTGTACTTTGCACTACAAGTTTGCAGTGAAAATAGGTACATTATACTACAATGTACATGTACTCTAGTTACTTTTACGCTCAGTTACGATAGAGTCCCTGTGAAGAAATAACAACCTTGTTCACTCTGCTCCCTCTGTGCTTTTTATTCAGTGGTTATTTTTGTAGCAACTGAAAAGGCCTTGATATCACACCATATGCACCTTGAGGGAGATCATTAACCCTTAATTATTAATAATCTGGTTTCAGGACAAAGGAATGGGTGAGAAGGCAACTTGTGGAGCACAAGGCAACGCAGCTTGCACGTGAGTTCTCTGTTTCACAATAATGTCCCTTTTTTATGATCACAAATTCACAATGTAACTCGCACATAGTTTTGTGGCATATGGCTATTTTGCATTCGTTTGTTGGTACTGTGTAACATTTTCTTCTGAATTCTACTTGCACAGGACAACAGGATGTAGCTGACAATAGCACTCAGGAAGAAGTGAATGCCAGGTATATCAGCTGAATTTTTTTAGACAATTTGTCATGTGAAATAAAACCACCCTAATTGATACTTGTGATATGCTGGTTAATAATCATTTCCAGTTTACAAAGTACTCTTTTGTGTTCCTGTCAGTTATAAAATGCCCTTTTTTAAACATCTATATTTTTACACGAAAGTGTTTTTATCCATTTCAGCATTGTAGAGCTGCAGTCCCAGCTCCAGGAACAGTCTACAAAACTCAGTGTGCAGGAGCTGGTGTTGGAAAGGTGAGTATAATATCATGTCTGCTGGTTGTATGGACAGAAAGTCTACACACACAGGCTTGTAGACGGGTAGTTTATCCAGGAGTCTCCCCAAAAATTCTGAGGGGAGAGGTGCTCCCTGATCGGTTGATGAAAAACCAGCAAATTTTCATGTAAATACTAAGAAAAACCCTAAATTTGAACATTTTTGGGTGAGGTTCTAGGATTTTGGGCAGAGAGGGAGCACCCTTGCTCCATTGCTTGGGGAGAGCCCTGTTATCACACTCAATACTTGCCTCAAATTTTCAGGGGCATTCATCAATATGTGTTGAGGTTTACATGTATATTTCTGTGGGTGTGTTTCTCCCTATGCAGATTGCAGTGTGGAGATGTGCTGTCCAAGTTCCTGTTTGACTCACCTGATTCAGAAAGAACAGAAGAGCCTTCAGACAAGGAGAAAGGGTAAGAGTCTTATTTTTTTGTTGTTGTCTACTGGTGCTTAAAAGACATTATTAGCCCAAGAACTTTCTTTATGAGATACCTTCTATAGACTATTGGAAGGTATAACATGTACAAATATTTTAAAGTTTGTTTGTCTTCAATAATGTGCTTTTTTTGCTTCCAGGAAAATTTGTGACATGGTGAAGAAGCAGAATGAACTTGTGTTTGAACTTGGCAAGTATCACAAGGTCAGTAACCTGGAATCTTAACTTAACATGTACTAGGTTTATTTTCTAGTCAGCAAACTAAAACTGCAATTCTTCCCCCTGTTTAGGATATACAAGATCTGCAAGAAAACCTGGATGAGGTGAAAAAGAAGAGTTTTGGTAAGTTTCTACATGCATGCATGAAATTCTCATACACTCAAACTTTCAAAGTCAGATATGTGATTACATGTACTTTACTGCCTGTGCAGTGTTCTAGCCAGTACTTTTTTCATAGCATAGGGGTCAGGTACAGAAGAGCAACTTTCGTGGCGCAAATCACGCATTGAGCCGAAATATTTTGAAAGTCATAACCCCCTGAGATACAATTTCTTGTTTAATGAGGAACAGATTTTGTGAAGTTAAGGTTTTCCCTTTGCTATAGTTATGTTTTCATTTTTTGAAGGTTCTCCCTCCCAAAACACCCCTATGCCGGCTGAAAGACAGCATAAGGGTCAAAATTATAGCATAGGGGGTCAAAATCATAGCATAGGGGGCCCCTGTGCTAAAAAGGCCTGGCTAGAACACTGCTGTGATGTGCAGCAATAGTTCTGTGAGTTTGGAAGCCTGACATTTCTCTTCTGTCTTTAGAACAACAAGTCAGGAACAGGGAACTGATGACCTTGCTTCAGCAGAGGAAGGAGGAACAGCAGCAGAGGTCACAGGAGGACAGCAACGACAGGGTCAAAATGTAGGTCATCAAAACCATGCTGTTCGTAACTTTTTTTTCTTGACATGCAATGATGTCACTAGAAACGCACAGTGGTACTAGTATTTAATCAGACTCACTCACTGCCTTAACATCAAAACCTTTCTACTGTGCCTCTCCATTTCTTCTTATCCTTGGAGCAAGTGAAAAATTTTCTGGGTTTATATGTACTAGGTTCATATGCAAATGTAGGTCCAAGTGTTCGTGAATTTTCATTGCTAGCTGTATTGAGTCGACTGTTGCCACCTACTAGTATTAGTTGTAAAAGAAATAACAGATTGGCAATGGTTTCTGATAAGTTTCTTTTTTAAAGTGTGATCATGCATAGCATACTTCTAAATTCTTATTAGTGTTGCAGGTAATTTTCAGTGTCATCTGCATTTTTTTTGTAAACCAGGAAATAAGGGAGCTGCTCCCTCATGTAACCAGCCAGCTCCCCCATATCAATTTTCAGATTGAACCCTAAGTGGCTACATACACAACATTAAATATTGCTCAAAATGAACTTTTTCCAGTGAAAATATTGACCCCAAAATTTATATTGACTCCTGAATGTTTGTTGTTCCAGGTTGGAGAGTAAACTGGGTGAGGCGATGTCTGAAATCTCCAGACTGCAGCACATCTACCAGGCCCTGATGGTGGGGAGTCAGGTACACTGGGCACAGGACCCTGACCTGCAGGAGCTCATGATCAGTCTGGGCACTCCTCCTGACATCTGAACACTGCACAACTCAAGCCTGTATTATTATTAGTGTACATACTGTACATTTATGTAGTTCCCATCTCTATTGTTTCTTACCTATAGCAGTATAGGAGGCTGTATGTTTACCACAATTTAACAAACTTTTGTGTAATCCCATACTGAAGACATGAATGGTAGCAAAAAGACTACTCTCCAAGCAGAGGTTGATGGGGGAAGATCGTTACCTTTCTATATATGGCCCTTTTTTGTCGCTACCCCCACCTTGGATCGCACATGGACCCTCTCTGGCCAATGGATAGTGCCTGTCCAATTCGATACTGTCCTTTTGCCATCCTAGGATCTGCTTGGAGAATATACTAGTACTGTACATTATGTAGTCCCCATCCCTACTGTTTCTTACCTAAAGGCTGTCTGTTTACACCTTTGTGTACAAATCCCTACTGAAGACATGGATTTTTAAGAGATGTTTGACTCGCCTCAGCAACTGAGAAGACATGTTGGAACCAATTTTATGACTCGTTTTTTATTCGTGGTAAATGGCTGACCTTTGTAAGAAGCAGTTCATCTGCATAGTCATACCTGTAGACATTACATGTGTCTATGTCAAAAGAGGCCATACCGCTCATTACTTGTTATTATGTGATGGTAAGCTTCTGACCAGAGTTGAAACTTATCCTGGTACAAGAAAATCTTGTGCTCTGCCACTGTAGATAAATTTCATGGTGATAAAGTATGATTGGTGTAAAACAAAAACTGACCAGATGAATTGAAATTGGAACGAAATAAATTTGCTTAAATAATCATGAGAAAAACAGGTCTCAATGGCTTTTCACTGCATTAAATGGTTATCCTTTACTTGTACATTGTATTTTTTATGTGTATAGACAGCTGTGTGTTTTGTTAATGTAGCAAGTTGCAGACAATCAAAACAAATTCTTTCCAGGGGCACAGGCTTTTTTTTCTCATTTCAAAGCCTTGAAAGATCCTTGTTGGAACATGTCACTGAGTAATGAGTCTGGGCGAGAGGTTACAGAGTAATACGTTGTTATGAAATGAACTCACACCACTTGCTCAACTCAGAATGGGTGCGCGACTATGCTTCAGTCTCCTGTCTGTCTATTTGGTTTCGACAACGTGCCTAACAGAGGAAAAGGATCACGAGTTCGTTTGTAAAACGGGAACACAGTATGCAGAAACTGGAGACGCTGCTGGGATCAGCCAAGTGATGTATGTGCTAGGTTGTTTACTTTTCTTGTGGGATAGTATTGATACCTACAATGTAACCTCACCACTAATTTTAAAGGACCATGCTTGAATATTGACTAATTGAGCTGTATGCAAAATGCAAAGATGAACCATGTAATTTAACACGTTGAATATTCAACGTACTCCTCTTCCATCAAATTTTACTGTAAAATATTTACTAGTAGATGGGTTAATCCCATTATTTTGTTGAAGGCCACAAGGGCTCCATCTTTGCGCTATGTATTAATAATGCCCGTTCGTTCGATGGTAGGGTGTCAGAGACAGTTACCGTATGAATGAAAATCAAGCAGATCTCAGGAGGGAACAAAAACGATGTGACACAATTCTTTGAAGCACGTAGCCGCTAATTAACCATAACAAAATATCTCTTAGAGAGAGCTCACGATACATTAGTTACTATTGTGCATCTCTAAGTCTAGTCTTATTAGCATTAGTTCAATTCAAGTCACCAAGGTGACCAATCATTTGAGTTACATATCATGTACATTACATATCAAATGGATCCTGTCAACTTACATGTTCCAACAGCAGAAGGCGTTGGAAGATTCCATTGCTGCATGGGAGTATAGACTGTTGGAACAGTTCACATTTTGAACAGGGGTGATTTAGGAACAATCCATTTGTGTGGGAGGGGGATATAGATTCATTTTGGGGGGATGTGGTGAAGCCATGCTGCATTCGCTCCTGAGCAAATGTCGGCCTTTCTAGTTTTAAAGCGTTTGTTGTTTCACTACAATGTACATCTTTTTGAAGTCTTGTATGCGCTTTAGGAAATGGAGGTACCGATCTGACCAGTCAGTACTAAACGGGAAGAATCTTCAACTCCTCACACCCGATGTTGACGTAACGGACATCAGGGAGAACTTGAAGAACATGTCTCATCTTATAAATCAGAGCGCGGCAATGATACACGGTTAGTTTTCGTCAGCTTTCTGGATGGTTTATATATGTTATGTTATAGATCTCATTACTTTCGTACTTATATTCTGTAACACTACGGTCTACGTCTTTCTAAATTCTCTATTTGCCTCTTCTTTGTCATCAAGAAGCTCCTAAGCATTTCAGGATTTAAAACGTACTCATCATGACTACAGTACGTATGTCCTAAGGACTCTGTGCGTCTATATATGTCTCGCTTCTGGATTTATATAAAGCACTCATTTAGACGACTTTGTATCTTGAGCGTCGCTTTAGTTAGCCTCTACCAGCCTTCGAGAGGCGGCTGGAAAGAGTAGAGATCGGTCAAATAGATCATATAGAGAGATAACATGCCAGAGGAGTTGGTCCGCTAGACAGTGCATTTTGCCGAAGCGGGAGCGGCAAACTGTTCTCTCCAGCAGACCAAATCCCCTGATATGCTATCTCTCTATAGTAGGCGGATTTCTACTCTTTCCAGCCGCTTAATTTCCGAAACCTGGTAAAGGCTAAGCTTTAGTAGCTAAAATAATAGTTAACAGGGACCTCAATCTATCTTTCTACAGACTTCTGTGTACTGGAAGACCAGCGATGGCAGGACACACTGAAAAATTGTACCAGCAACAACACCATGGTCAATGCACTGCTCCGGAACGACCAGCTCCGGCCCTGGGTGCGGCCGTACTGGGCACGGCGGAAGGACTGGTTAGAGTCGCCCGTCCCGCTCTGTGAACAGCTACCAAAGACTCTGACACAATTCGTGGCATTCTGTGCTACCGAGGGCACCAAAAGCGGCTACATGCAGGCTCACAACATCAACAGCTACTCGAGTTTCTTTTCTTCTCTGCTGAAAGCTGTGAGAATGATACCTACTGAAGCTGCCTACTGCACCAACAAGACAGAAGTTAGCAGCCTTTTCGACGTCAGGCCATCCCAGAAGATTCCGCAGCACATTCGAGCAGCCCTTATCCTAGAGGGCCGACAGTTCACCACCGCTGACGCCGCTTCGCTGGCCGAGCTTTTTCCGTACCTTGACTGCTTGGAGAAACTCAGCATCGTGAACTCTCGGATGCCAGCTGCTGCCACGAGGAAGATCATTGACCGCCTGTGCGAACTGAAACGCCTGATGTACCTGGACCTGTTCGGTAACACCATCGATGACGAAGGCGTTACGAAACTCACACAGACTTTCATCCATCTCAAGAGCATGAAGGACCTGGCATTGGAAGACAACAACATCACCCCAGTTGGTGTAGCCATCATAGCACAGAACATCGCAAAGCTGCAGGAGCTGGAACGATTCATAATCGGTGGCCTCGACGAAGTGGCTGGCAGCATACTGGCCATGACAAGGGCTTTCCTGAAGATGCCTAAACTGCGTAAAGCCCACCTGGTCTATGTTCGATCCCCACCGGCTGAAATTTCAGACGTTGAGAACCAAGTGAGTGAGGTGATCCGGCTGCTGAAGGCTAATGTGTACACAGCCAGGCCGTGGAAGAAGAAGTTGCTTTACGACGCAACAGACCTAGACTCGGGGCGTAACGCAAACGCCAGCATGGCGTCAGATTGGTCCGCGGTCATCTCGGAGCTGTGGAAAGACCTTGGTGGCCGCGGTGTGACCGTCGAAGCTAGCGACAGAGATTTAGACATCGTGCTTTGTGTGTCTTGTTGGTGTTACGAGCGTGGGTTTGACCGTGCTTTGAGATGCTGCACGAGGGACTGACTACAGTCTACAGAGAACACACACAGGGCACAGGCATGGCCGTTCACACACGAACAGGGGGCTCACTTTTGAGGACTGCTCTCCCCCTCTCTTTTTCAAATGCTGCCTCTCAGAGAGCACCTCCCGTCTTTATTCACACTGACACTGTATTAAATGTGAGACGAGTGACTCACATTCTCTGCTGGAAAACACTTTGAAGTTCAAACATACATGTAAAACAGTATACGTAGCCTGAAGTTGACACTTTTTCATGAAAATGGTTTCTTTTTAAGGTGCTAAATATAGTAGGGCTTTAGTGCGAATGCTCCTTTGTACATAAGGCTTCGTCAGTGTGAAACCTTTTACAGAAAGCTCAAGAGAAGTACAAAATACAATGATAAAATGTGATTTCTGGCCTGCTTACATTGGGACTGCTAAAATGATAAAATATTTGTAGCGTAGTCATTTCAAATTTAAATGAGTATGTGTTCTGCAGCACGGCAATTCATCCAGCAAGTGATTGCATCATATACTAGTATAAATAAAATTGTCTATCTGATCTTACACATCTTACACATCAAACAATCTCATCATATATTAATTCGATTTGCATCATACAATGTATATTAATTGTCTATCTGATGTAAAACATCAAACGATCTCATTTATATCTAAAAGTGCACAAGCGGCGTGCGCATGTCTTATACATAAAGAACGCAATCAGGATCACAAGAAAATAAGTGTTTTCATCAACATTATAGCATTTCTGTGATGTCTGGCGAATTGAATATTGAAAGGGTCGGGGGGCAGCGGCCGTGGGGTTTTTGCCAGGGGATGCTCGTGAAGCCGAAAACACAACTTTTCCCTAGGCCTGATATAAATCTGACTGTGTCGTGCTAGCTTCTTGTTCCACTTGGTCGTAGGTCTAGTATAGAATGGACGCGGGACTGTGTCTCAGGCTCCTGGCCGTATTCATGGTTTTAACATCCGGCTTTCCGGACGAAAGGGCCCCCACTTCTACTGGTGTAGCGGGAATACGGCTGCGACATAAGAGAAGTGGCCAGGATTTCAACTCAAACGCGGGCATTTGCCACGTGAGGTATGTCGGTTCTACGTTGATGATAACTGGTTTATTCTTCTTCACCTAAACATACACATTTTAAAAGTCTATGGCAGCCTAAATGGCTGAATTGTCGACTTCTTGCAATTTCAAAGCTTGAAGAATATTATAAGTTCAGATTTACAGTACATATACATATGGTATGCAATATCGACCTTACCCTTCTCCTTGCTGCCTTGCCCCATAACCAATACAAATTTGGAGCCAAATATAGGCACGCTGGATGTTACAGTGCTTTATTGATAGACAAGCAGTACACGGTGCAGTGAGGCCCCGGTATAGATTAATGTTGAGAAACGACATTCTCTCGTCATAGCTCGTGATCTTAGCCTCTACCAGGCTTCGGCAGGCGGCTGGAAAGAGTAGAAATCAAAAGACAAAATGTTCTCTCCAGCAGACCAACTGCCCTGGCATGCTATCTGTCTATTTGGCCGGTTTCTGCTCTTTTCAGCCGCCTCCCGAAGCTGGTAGAGGCTACATGATATATAGTATCTGGACATGCTAGGGTCACGAATTTTGGATGATAGATAGCGCTTGTACGAGTAGAATAGCCTTCTTTCTTGAGATAAGACTGTTACTTACTAGTGGGTGAGGAATGGTCAACTGATGAAATCCATGCAAATGAAGGTCTTATTTGCATTATAAATGAAAGGCGTTCATAATTTGTAAGTCGTATACAAGCTAATATCATGGGGAAGGTGTGCGGTTGTGGTAATCTCCAAATGTTTATAATTATTAGGTGGCCGCAAAAGACAGTATCAAATTGGCCAAGCAGTATCCATTGGCCAGACTGTATTCATGTGCCACCCAAGATGGATACAGTCTGAACAATGGATACTGCTTGGTCAATTGTACTGTCGTTTGCGGTCACCTAAACATCTGCTTAGAGATTAAGGTTGTGGAACTTTTTGTTTGTTTCAGAAATTGGACGTACGAATTCGCTCAGTCAGAACTGTCTGCCCAGATCAACTATCGCCGATTCCTCCTACCTGATGTTGGTCACATAAAGGACATGCTCAACAACGTCAGGAAAATGTTGCCTGCATTCGAACAACAACAAAAAGGTTCGTTTCCTTTGCAGAGCTTTACACTACAGTGTATATTTTATAAAAGATTGGACGGACGATACTGTATAATCTTCGCATTCCTGTTTGACCAAAATAAAATTTTTCTTTTTTTTATTCCAACATGTAATCACCAGACGTGGTGACGACACACTCAAGTTTTTTTCAACTTATATTAATGCCACCACCAACACAGGGGACAAATACATGACAGGACAATACTCATTTACACCTGAGCTAAGTGAGGAAAGCCGAGTAAAAAATTGCCTGTGGTTGTGCTCGAGCTCATGTATGCTTTTCTGCTCTTCTCTTCAGTATTGACAAGTATTGATATTGAATATTAATCCCCTGGATAACCAAGGGCGTTCTTGATAGAACGTCCTTGACTACACGTCTAGATAGCGCCTGCTTTACACATAACTTTTTCAAGGCGACTAGAACTCAAGACGACTTGAGCTAGTTGACTTGAGCGAAAATTTCCCTGTGTAAAGAGAAATAATTCAACTCAAGTCGCATTCTAATAAAGACGACTTGAGTCGTATCCAAACCAGACTTAAGTCGGCCAATGGGGTGCCGAGTCCGCTAGCTTCGCGTGTGTAAACGGGCGAAGTCGACTTGAGCGTCTCTGTGTAGTAGTCAGGCAAGACCGACCCACCGAGTTGACTTGGTGGACTTGGGGGGAGGGTGGCACAGCTGGACAGCCAAGTCGCTTTGCGACCCCGTGTGTAAACAGAAAGTTTTAAAGTCGACTTCGCTGAGTCGACTTAGAAATGGTGTGTGTAAAGTGGGCCATAATGACGATGCCTCTACTATACTTGGTGACAGCGAGTTCCACTCTGCGATAGTTCTAGGAATTAAAGAATGAATTCTTGAACACCTCAATCCTTGGTTGATAACGCTGGTACTTGAGGACATGGCTATTTCTTGTTCTTATCTGTTTTGCAGACGTCTGTGAGCAGAAAGAGCGACGCTGGGAGGATTATGTCAAGGAGGAGTGCTCCAAGCTTGGAGGGTCAACATCATCGGAACTTCCCAGCAACAACTCCGCTGTGACCGCACTGACGACCGCCCAACCGTTCTGGCCTCGGGGCTGCAAGAACTTGTTACGAGATCGGAAGAAGTGGTGGGGGTGGCCCGTTCTGCCCTGCGAAGAGTTCCCAAAGACTCTGACCCGCTTCGTGGCACACTGCGCGTCGAAAGCCTCGCACACCCACAAGAACTATATGACCGCAAGTGGCTTCAGCACTCTCGCAGAGTTTTTCTCGGCCCTACTCGACGCTGTACGAGTAATACCTGAGTCTGCATTTGCCAACACCACCGCGTCTGGTGCAGGCAATGCCGTCCAACTGATACTCGACGTGAGGAAGAAGCTAACCGTCGCCGACACGTCTGCTCTGGCCGAGCTCTTTCCGTACCTCCCGCGTTTGAAAACATTTCATATAATCAACACTCGCGTGCCTGCTGCCGCCACAAGGAAGATCGTCGAGCGGCTCGGTGATTTGAAACACTTGGAATTCCTCAATCTGCACTCCAACACCATGGACGACGAAGGCGTCGAGAAGTTCACACAGAGTTTCGTCCACTTTAACGAGAGCATGAAAAAGTTGTGTTTGGAAGGAAATTCAATCACTCCAATCGGAGGAGCTATCATAGCCCGAAACATCGCTAAATTGCAAGCGCTGGAGAAACTGGTTCTGGGGGGCTACAGCCGAGTGGCTGGCAGTGTACTAGACATGGCAAAGGCGTTCCTGAAGATGCCCAAACTGTGCCGCGCTTTTCTCTATGCTCTCACGACCACTGCTGCCGAACTGCCAGAAGTGGAGAGACAGGTAAGAGAGACCATACACTTGCTGAAAGCTCAGGTGTTCGGTGTCAACGGTTGGGTGATAGCGAGGGACAAGCTGCTGTATGATGCTACCCACACCGAGAACACAGATCTGAAATGGGAAAAAGTACGCAGGGAGATACGCCAAGACGTAAACGGCAGACCTGGTGTGTTTATCGAGTCTGGAAACAGGGATCCGAAGTTGTCCGTTCATTTTCAAGTGCACTGTTCGGACTGTTCGGACTGAAATGCGCGCTTTCAAGACACCCGTAGAGCTCTTCTTCTAATCTCCAAGCAGATGTTACGGCGGCAAAAATCGTAACCAGCCCTCAAGGCAGTATCCAGTTGGCTAGACCATATCCATTCGTCCACTCCTATCAGGTGTTGCGGTGGCAAATTTTTATTTGTTTGTTATAGAATAACCACTTTCGAATTCTATGCTACTTAATTTACTGGACATGATTGGAGCTCATGACTCAATTCAGTGCACATGTTGCAGGATGATCATTACAAAAGATTTTTTGTAGACGATGCAGATGTTTAACAACGTAATTTTGGATTTTACATCCCTTAATTGTTTTTTTGCGCAGCACGGTAATAGAAAGAACGCTACTGCTAGACTGAAGCTTAAGAATCACATAACGTGTTTCTAATCATGAGTTTTGCATAAAATGATTTACCCAACAAGGCTTGCTGTTATATAAATAAAACTAAAAATTGCTGTCGAAAATTGTCTACGATAATTTACACATCAACTGTTCTCATTTATTTCATGTTTCTGAATATGTTTATTTTAAACCCAATATTGTGTGCTCAAAAGGCCAGAAAATGAAACTACATGTAGTAATTTCTTCAACACAACTAAATTATTTCATAGAAATAGAAATTATTTGAACATTTTTCTTGTATTTGCTGAGCTTCCTTGACTTATTTTGGACCAGCACAGCAAAATGTTAGAGCGACTTTTATTCTGTATGATTTTCTAGTAGCAGACAACACATGCTCAAGTTGGAAACATAATAAAAGATGACAACATCAGCCACTTGGTCTTGAGATCTTTTTACTTTCACGATAAAAATGTTTGGAAATGGTTTGGTACCTAGTCTGACATTACTGCAACACATCTGTGAGGAAAGACTACATGATACGTTCTTCCTGCTGAAATAAAGGTTTTATGTACACTTCCATTGCACTGAACTGTTACACTTTACAAGGTCCTTAAGTTTTCAGCGTTATTCACAAATTGTGAGTACTAAGGCTGTAGCAAAACCCCATGCTAGATTGGCCATGTGCAAATTTTGTTACTTAGATATTGTAGACTGCAAAAGAAAAAAGTTTCTTCCAGCCTATACCATTCTGACATGGTAACAAGTACAATATGTAAATGTGTTACCATCATTCTGCTAAATCATTAATGGTTTTCCGACGTCTTTTTCCCAAAGTTTTTTTTTGTATAAGGAAGAGGTTCTTGCTATTACTGAGGTACACGCACTTCAGCTATCCATATCTTTGACTTGCCGTTGGCTGCTATCCGGTTTGCACAAGTGTGCAAAGCAGAGCTATTTAAGACTTTTGACATGTCATCTCTAGATGGTCAATGCTTCTTAATCCAACAGTCACATGCTGGCCCAACAGGTGAGGCATTTTGAAGTGGAAGACATCATTGTTAGAAGTACAAACTATTAAGTTACAGCATACTTGTACACGGTACAAGGTTTCAACTTAAGGCTGCTGACCAAGTGTCGAACATAACTTAGGGAAGTTGTACTGCTGTAAGCTTAAGTCTTCCACGTGATGATTACTTCAAGATATACCTGGCTACTTCTCCACACCTGTCCTGCTCTTCGTACACTTACACATGATGTCTTGGTCACCATCCAAACCAACGACGGACAAACAACAACACCTGATTTCTTTGCACGTGGGATTAAAGAGGCCATCTACATCAGGGCATTACAGCCATCCCTCAACAGAGACGGGGGGCGCCACAGACTTTCTGCAACCTATGATCCACTGCTCATGGATGGAGTCACGTGTGTTATCTGCGTGACGTCACGAAAGCGGTGGATTGCTCATTCCTTGACAAAGACTGGAGTTGTGCAGTCAAAAATTTGGGTGAGTCCAATTTCTTGTGTTGGAAATTACAGCTTAAACTTGCTTTGTAATGATTTCTACTGACACAGATGATAAACTTTCAAGATAACAACAACACCTATGCAGCTCCCACCGTCAACTCCGCTCCTTCTCTTCTTGGGCCTCTGCTCTGTACACCACCTGACCACGGCACTTCACATAACACCATTGCAAACATAACAGGTCAAACCAGGGCAAGGGGCTGAGTTCACACTTTTCATATATATAATATATATCCTACAGGTCCTTATAATGCATTGCATATTTTGCTGATATTTTCTTCACTTCTGTTTCACGCCCCTCCTCTTCATAGCAGCAGTGCATTGTGGGCAGTACCATTTCCCCTTGGGGGGCTCAGAGATGCCGACACACCCGTAGTGGAACCACTCGATTGGACACTGCAAAACAAGCGGGACAAGAACGTTTAGAACTTTTTGTCATAAACAAGACTGAAGGTTAACTCTTTACACAGATGCTCTAGGACGACCACCCCCTACATGACCTTGTCCCTGTCTCTAGAGCTAATGCTACTGCAAAAAGGAAAACAAAACAAACAGACAAGGTACTTACGTCTTCATTGTCACATCCCACCATATCTCCGTAGGACACCTGAAGGCAAGAAAACACAAGCACATTTAGGCATAACACATCTCACACTCGGCTGTGAATGAAACACCTGGTTGTAAAAAAAGCATCTCTTTACTCAGTGTGGTGGGATCTTTAACATGCTGGAGGTGTGGCTCTCCTCAAACATGTGGCCTTCTATATATGCCTTCTTACAACCAGAGCAAACAAGGACAAAAATCTGTATCTGTATAACCTTCCCTTGGTGTAACACACCAGCTTCTGTATCTGTATCTGTATGGCCAGTATAACTGGCTCTTAGCGTAACACACCAGCTCTGTATCTGTATGTGTATTGCCGGTATAACATCCCCTCAGTGTAACACACCAGCTTGCAACAAACCAGCAAGAAGACAATCACCTGATTACATATACAGTATCTTGGTTCGTTTGGATCGAAGGTCCAGTCCATGGACGATGTGGTGGGCTCCTCTATGATGGTGGCCTGCGGCTGGAAGGTCTCCACAGGTGGAGGGGGCGGCGCAGGTGTGGAGGCCGCGGCTGCAGCCGCAGCAGCAGCTGCTGCAGCTTTCGGTGTTCTGTGAAGAAAGACATTAAAGGTTAAACAACTAGAAAGGTAACATTTGCAAAGCAAATACATAATGTTTACCTTTGCATATGGTCTGCTCTTTTATTCTTACTCAAACACATTTCATACATGGTCGGACAGGAGTCTAAATCTCTCCTGCTTTAAAATTGCAACATGATGTAACCCAACACTAGTTACCATGTACCATGGTGACAGACATCTGTTCCCTTGGTTTAGGTCATTGACCTTATTGGTTTGGAGAAGAAGAAGAAACAGAGCAAACCATTATGTTTTCCATAAATACACCCTAGCAGTCAGTATTAATTAATCACTTTCAGAGCTAAGGAAACATTTTACTCCTCCAAGACTTGAAACCCTTATCAGAAGCCTGAAATGCCTTTGAGTTGCTCACTTTTTCTGTGTTCTCTGAGACCTGCTAGTGTCTGCAGTAGAGATGCTGGGAGAGTTGGCCTGTGCCGTGACGCCGTAGTTGGTCCCCAGGTTGAAGTCGAGTCCTAAGTTGGTCAGGTTGGCATTCTTCATCACTTCGTACGTGGTCTTAAGGCTGGAGGTGCGCCGTCCTTGTTGCATCTGTGGGGAGAAAAAAAAGGTGGGAAATGTACAATAAGGATGGCACTGAGTAAAGAGACAACAACCACAAAAGAAGTGTTTTATTTAGCCGATGTTTCGGTGATCGACTGTTACCTTCCTCATGATCAGGGCAATTCTGACTGGTTCACATTGTACAGCACAGGTGTCTTTACTCAGTGTCTTACCAACCTGATAAAACTATTCATAGAAATAAGGATGGCAACCCTGCATTGAAAATACACTCTGCGATAAACTTTATATAGGTTTATTCAGCCCCCATTCTACAAAAAAACATTTCAGTAAGATCTCTAACACTTCCCTATTTGGTTCTGAAACAGTACAGCACATACAGTCACACACCAATCTTTGCTCAATATGCCACTAGCACTTTTCAATGATGCTATGATTGCTTGGGTATTAGTAGCATTCAATATTTAGATTATACTACTGGTGGGCAGCAGTCAGATGGTCTTCACACCATGTTTCCAGGCAGCTCAGTCCATCAGAGAGTGCTACTGAGGCCACACACATTCATGTCCCTCTTGACACACTTGACACATCAAGGTAAATATGGAGATATTAAAATATGGAAACTGTTTTTTTTACCTGCAGTGTTTGGTTGACAGCTTGAGCAGCGGCAGCAGCAATAGCACCACTTCCTGCACCAATCTGACCTGGAATGGGACCATCCAAAATACAACACTCTTATTCACAGATTCTGTTGTGTACAGTGTAGTCAATAAAAAAAAAAGGGCATCTAGTATTATCTACATAGTACAACATCATGTACAGTATTTTCACTTGTCAGCTCAGGGAGTTACAAAGGTATTGAGCTACATACCAGTATAGAGCTGATGTTAAAGAGGTGTAACTAAATCAGACATGGTACATGAAACTACATCCAACAAGGCAATCGGTGATGGTAGACTTCATTCTCTTACTGCTTTACAACTTCAAACCATCACTGGTTTGCAACCCTTTCAGTCCCAGAAACAAATATTAAAGCACTGACTATGCAACGTAGCTATGTTGTGTGGATTGGAAAAAGCAGAAATATACACACACACTCACAAACACAGACAAGCCCAAACAACACTGCCCTTCCTTGACTTGAGTTGATATGATAACTTAAGAGAAGTTTCTCCTTACCCAGGTTGGGCAGAGTGAGTGCAGGAGAAGGCTGCTGCAGACTTGGGTAGAGACTAGGAGTGGGCGGGGTCGACGTGTTACTACGGTAACTGACAGGAGAGTCTGGCGTCCCATTGGTCAACGTTCTCAGCAGCTTGTCTGATGCTGGTCTCTTCTCGGGCTGGTGTTCTGTCTGTGTCACATACTTTCTCTCTGTTTGAAAGAAATAATAAAGGCAGGTTTTACACAATGTTAGAAGAAAACAAAGGCATGTTTTACATAATTTTTAAAGAAAATAAAGACATGTTTAACATAATATCAGAAGAAAATATAGGCATGTTTTACATAATGTTAGAGCAAAATAAAGGCATGTTTGACATGATTTTTGAAGAAAATATAGGCATCTTTTACATGATCATTATCATACGAAACACAGATGAGCCATCTGCTGCCATACCATGTGCCTACAAGGCTGGTGTGTTATTTATGCCAAAGGGCAGTTAAGCCAGAACTCAATCTTCAAGTTTGTTGTATTTTTCGAAAAGAATTGGGCTTACTTTCAGTCTTGGGTTTTCCACCATGCTGACTTCCCGATGGGGTAGGGTTATCCAACTCTAAGGATCCTGGGGAAAAAAACATGTACATACTTTTAATTATTTATTTTTTTTAATGCTGTATGTATACTAGTAGTTTGGGTTTCTATGTTTTGTTTTCTATGGGCGAAATACCTTAAATAAAGACATTCATTCAAAACTTGAGGCAGATTAAACCAAACATTTTGTCAAATAGATACATGTGTATAAGGGATAGGATCAATACAGAGGTGGTTGTAACTTGGGTAGGGGCAAGTCCGCAAAGATAAACACAGGAAATACTAGTACTAGTAGGACCAGTGCACAAGAGAGCCCCCTAGCAGGTTGTGATTGAATTGCATTTCACTGAAAGTTGTGCAACAATGAACTTTGTTTATATTACCCAAATTGAGTCCTATAAACAAATCTAGTGTCCGTAATAAATTTTCACATTAAAAAAAAATGAAGAGATAGGAAAGAAAACATACTTCTCTCCAAAATTTCTGTGATACCAGCATTGTCTGCTTCCAACTCCATTTTGAATTTCTGGAGTTCTTGGTCAAGTTTACGCAAGTGCCGGTCAACCTAAGGGATAGACGTTCAAAGAAATGTTATCAATGCTGTCATTCCCTTCTACATTATATGCTTGGTCAAGCTGTGAACAGGCTTGTCCCAAAGTATGTGATATGCAAATTAGTCAAAATCTTTAAATTTAATTGAGTCTCCATCCCAACTTATCATAGTTGAGAAAAATAATTCATGGAAACCTGTAAAAAGTTATGATTGGTGCATCAATAGACAAAACTTACCAAATCATAGATTTGGTTGGCAAGCTGGACTTTTTCATCTGCATCCTCAAGTGCTTTGTAATAATCCTGTATAAAAACAATTGTAAAAGGATGATGTGATCAAAAAAACACCTCAAGATGACAAGATCAACAGATAACCTTAACACATTTTGCCGAAAATTGCGAGTTTATCCGCCCCGCATCCGTTGCCATGACAACCGGTTACTCACCTGCCGGATCTTCTCAAACTGTTCATCCCGCGCTTCTGGCTTCATCTTCTTCGCGTTGGCGAAAAGCGTCTTTACCCGCTCTTCTAGCGTATCCATGGCATCTGAAAAACGAGAAAAAACACAAAAAAGTTGATATTTCGCCGTACAAAACGAAAGAAAAGCGACGAAATTTGCGAAATAGGAGATTTTAAATTTTACCCACTTTGCACTTGCAGGTCCATTTCGCGCATTTCCGTGAACCGGTCCCTGAGGTCCTGCGGAAGGGTCTCGATCACTGCAGAAACGAGAAGAAAGGGCAAGAAAATATCGGTCAAACGGCCAAACGATGGGAAAATTTTCCACAGAATTGCGAGATAGATGCCTTATGAATCGAATCTGGCACATTTTGGGTTCTCTTACTCTCGAGATAGTCTTCTAAGTACAACATTTTGAAGGGGTTCTGTGGACTCGATCGTCGCAGTAATGGCGGAAAGGAAAATTCAACTCTCGCTCCTAGACTCCCCAGGCTTCTACTGCGATGTCACCTTCCCTCTGATTGGCTAGAATTCAGGAGGTCCGTATTGAGTTGAATTATCATAAATACGGTACTTTAGTCTCTATCCTGCAAAATTTATCACTGAATTGATCTACTATACGTTTTGGATGTTTTACAGCTTGAAGACTAGTAGTATAGTTGTATTTTGTAGGAGATTCGTGGTATACAACTGTGTTTATTTACTCCAGTCTGACCAATCAAATGGCTCCATGCGGAAAGACGTTTGGCTCGTACGATGACCTGTGACCTACAGTGTGTCCCACTGCGCATGCGTACGTTGGCCGCGGTCATTTTGGGATTTTGCTCTTCCTGTTTTTTTCGACCGATAATTTATTGCAATTTTTCGGCCCAAAATGACGCTGACAACCGTTTTTCGGGCGAGTATGCGACTCCCTCGGCTGAGAAGTATACCCGAACGTGCGACAACTGTCTACGCAAGGTCATTTTCCTCAGAGGTGTGTATGCATGGTTTTTATTCTGTACAAGGTTACGAAAAGGGGGCGGGGAAAACACCATAGTCCATAGTACAGCCAACAATCAAAACACGTGGAAAGAATACACGTGTATGAAATTTGAAGGAAATTATAGATTGACCTAATTATGAGCTATTGTTCTCAATCATTGTCAATAAGATGAAGATAATACCAAGAGAGGAAAAGTTACATCTCGATATTAAATTTCTCAGGAAACTATGTAGATAGTGAGTAGTGATAACGTTAGACGATGGATAAAAAAAAACCAGAAGTCGCCTGAAAAAAATTATACATTTATTACTACAAGAACTGAATGGCTGTAACTTTTTAAGCTGGTGTGTTACACCGAAGGGCAGTTATCATATACCTGCTACTTGTTATGAATCGCATTATGTGCAATATCATATAGGAGCGACTCCAGTTTTTGTTCACATCAATTATTGGTAGGCCACAAGCTGTATTAAAGCTGGTCCTTTTGTTATCATGAAAGTTCATCTGTGTTGGTAGTTAAATGTTTAAAGTTAAAACTTTTGGTCCAACACAAAAATTTCTCTCACCTAGAGCTTTCAACCAGTCACTCTGGTCCTTTTGTTGTTATTCAGGCTGAGCTGAAAAAGACACCGCTGTACGAGTTCCACAAGGAGCACGGTGGGAAGATGGTGGACTTTGCCGGCTGGTCCATGCCGGTTCAGTACAAGGACGGCATCTCAGCTTCTCACCTCCACACCCGGGCCAACGCCTCCATCTTTGACGTCTCTCACATGGTCCATGTTATTGTTGTTTTTGCTGTCTCTGCTAAAGGCATCCAAAGTGATTAAAGAGCAGCAAAACTGAAAATATTCGGAATAAGGCAATCTTTATTATATTGACACATTTCAATCAGTATTTCATATTTTGGGTATTTAAAACTGCAGAAATAAGCCCCAAGATGAGTCCTTTATTTCAGGGATGGTACCCTAAAAATCAGCCAAGGGCCCTTCCAGTAACCATTTTCCGTCAGTGAGGGTCAATATACATTGGGATAATGTGGTTTCAAATCAGCATGTAGATAAGTGACTAGAATATTGACTTTGAAAAATTGGGATTCCAAGCCCTAAAATCTGCGTTGGATGCCTTTAACGTCTATTTTTCTGCCAGACGTAGACTCTTGGTGCCCTTCTCTGCTTGCTGCTTGTTTGTATTCGATGCTCTGGTACTTTTGCACTTACATGTATCTCCAAGCAGATCTTTCGGTGGGGGAAGACAGTATCCAATTGGCCAGTCTGTAACTATTTCTTCGGTGGGACATTTGCACTGGTGCCTTGCACTAATCTCCAAGCAGATCCCTTTCGGTGGCAAAAAACGACAGTATCAAATTGGCCAGGCAGTATATCCCTTAGCCAGAGAAGGTCTGCAGCCACCGACTGTAGCGACAAAAAACGGCCATATATAAAAAGGTAACGATCATTCCCCCACAACCTCTGCTTGGAGAGTACCTTGCACATGTGTGTTTTGATAATGTTGGTTAGTCCTCCTTCTCTAACCTTGCCGTGTTCTCCATGTAGGTCCAGAGTCGGATCCACGGAAGGGACGGGGTCAAGTTCATCGAGTCTCTGACTGTGGGGGACGTTGCGGGGCTACAGGAGAACCAGGGAACCTTGACCTTGTTCACGAACGACCGGGGAGGGATCATGGATGACTTGATCGTGTCGAAGACGTCGGAAGGGTTCCTGTACGTGGTGACGAACGCTGGGTGTGCCGAGAAGGACATCGCACACATGCAGGTTTGGGGATTTTCATGAAAGTTCATCTGTGCTGGTAGTAATCATAGTAAAACGTTAAACTTTATTCCAACACACAGTTTTAACAGAGATCAAATTTTTGCAACCACTGTCACCTTCATCAGGATTATTAATGACCAATCACTTAAAAATGTAATCTACACATGACCTTGTTCATATGAGACTTTACTGATACGTGATGTAAGCAATTGATCAAAAGTGCCAGGGAGTTTATATCGTCCACCATCTCTATGGCTGAAGTGTTCTGATATATGTGGCTTTCTTATAATGCCTCTTAAAAAGTAGCCCTGTTCAGTGTCCGGTATTCTAACTTTGTCTAAGGTTGGGAGATGATGATGACAATGAATGGTTTATCTCAAAGAAAATACATCACAGCCTCAGGTTGAATTACATTGAATTACTCATTTTCAGAGCCAGTGTAAAGAGTTTCAGGCCCAAGGCCACGATGCAGCAGTAGAGGTCATCCAAGATCAGTTTGGTCTTCTGGCATTACAAGGTGAGTGGGCAACCACTGAGGTACTACATGCTGCATGTTGATCTAATACCTCAGAGCACACAATGATTATAGCAATTAGATGCAGTTCAGCTTGATTTCACTAGATGTCATCGATGAACTGATGGCATTGATAGGATCTAATCTGGTCCATGCAAAAATGTAGTGTGGCAAATACTGGCATTAGATATACTTGCTTTCTTGTTCTACAGATACATATGAGAACCAAGAAATACTCAGTATTCTATGGTCCCAATGTTATTGTGACTTTCATGTCTTCTGTCATAGCCTGGAGTCTAGCCTTGTTAACTTTAGTCTGTTAGCTTTAGGATCTCGGGGAGCGGACTAAAAAATTAAAGCTAACAAGGCTGGACTCCAGGCTAGTCTGTCATTCATCCTTTAATTATCTTTATTTATTTTAATTCAATTGCAACAAGGCAATACATTGGCCACCCAGGTAGCATGGCTGATTTCGGTTGCCAAGAGGTACACAAATTAAACAAAGGAGAAGATCAGACAAACTAAAAGAATTTCCTGCTGACTGTACATTATACGTGTATGTTCTTTTGTGCACACCTCCACATGTACACCTACAGGTCCATCTGCCGCAGCTGCGCTACAGGCAGGTGTCGAAGCAGACCTGTCCAGGATCACCTTCATGTGCAGTGCCGTCCTGACGGTGTTCGGTGTCCCCGGCTGCCGTGTCACCAGGTGTGGGTACACGGGAGAGGACGGCTTCGAGGTAACAGCAGTCTCCATTCTCTAAATATACAAATATGTGTATCTGTATAGCCGGTATAACAGCCTTTTCGGCGTAACACACCAGCTTCTGTACCTGTATAGCTGGTATAACCGCCTTTCGGCATAACACACCAGCTTTGCAGGCACACAGCACAGCGGCAGCTGGCTACATTATACCGACCGAATTGTTACACCTAACACTTGAACATCTAACTCTAGACATTGTTTAAAGCTATCTAATGACAATGCCCCTACAGTGCCTTCAGAAACAGTAAAGTCGCAAACACTTTTAGTGGGAGGAAAATGGACGAAAACTTATTGTAGACATTGTCATCGATCGATATACTAGTAATCAGTTGCGAGTCAGTGCAGCCTAAAGTATAGGGTACTTGGAGGCATGTTCTTGAGCGTTATGACTATTGGCACCTGTGCGCTGCACTGCGTTTGGGAAGGTTAATGGAAAATTTATCACACGGGCTTGACCGTACCCGGCTGTCCACATGAATTTCTCTGCCCTCATGTAAACTGTCACGGCTCTTCGCGAGCTCTTTACGATACAATGTGACAAACCCATGATAGCTGGAAGTTAACTCTGGGGCAGGTGTTAAGCATGAAGTTATGGAAATGTTACAGGCTTTGGTGTTAGAATGTGTTTACTGGGTGCTAAAAATCCAAATTAGAAGGGAGAATTTATGGAGAATGACTGTCTGATGTGTTGGATGACATGGGAGTACCTAAGTCTGATTCTAAGTAATGCAGTAGTGCAGAGAATGTGGTTGGTCCATGAACAACATACCCAAAGATTCAGTCTGTTTGTAGGTACCGGTAAATCTAGGCCAAACAGATCTAGAGAAGCATTGCAATTTTGGGACTGATTTACATGTAGTCTTAGATTCAAATCCAGGAATTATTCAACGGACTAACTATTGCAGGCAATGTTGGGAATACCGGTATGTGGCTAAGCCCATGAATTTACCATCACAGTCATATAGATATAGGCCACATACATGTACTCTTAAGATGTAATTTTCCCCAAGGTATCTATAAAATACCAAAAAAATACAGGGAAACTGCAAGATTTGACAGGATATTTATTGTATATTACACACAACCTTGAGCAATGATGAGGGCCATTTTTCTTCATCTCCTTGCTCCACTGTAACATTTTACCACAGCAATCAGCATGCATGTCACATCGCCAGTAAGTCACCATGCATTGGCCACACCGAGATACATATAGTTTCAGGGCTCAAAATACATGTACCTCCTTCAAATTGGGGCTGTGCGGGTATTTCTGATGTCTACCTGCACTGGTCCTTGACTAAACCAGCCCCAGACACTACATTGCATGCAAACAGATGACTACCAGTAGTGATCAAAACTGCAGTGCATTCTTCAAAGCAGCATCATTGAAGACAGCAAAGAACTTGATAAAATTAAAAATGTTTTTTATGAAAGGCAAAGAAACTTAGCCTGGGTACCATCCTGATCAGTTTACGTCTGCTCACTTGCGGTCGGTAGCAACAGTGGGAGTGGATGTAAACTAAACAGGATGGCACCCAGGCTAAAAGAAACTGTAGTGCATGTAAAACTTAAGCTTGTCTAGTGCAGGTATATATGCAGAGAAAAGGATTTCCAGCCCCAATTCATGCAGCCATTCCATCCATCACCCTCACAGTGAAGCTTATCTGACTGGGTGGAATATTGTTTGCCATTAAGTCAAGATCAATATTATCTGGGCAGAACCACATGCAGCTGATGCCGCGCTCTTAGAGTTACATTCTTCCTGCATTTTAAATTCTCTATCCCAAGTGTAATTTTTTCTTGCCTGGCAATCCCACGGTCTATCAGATCGGATGTCAGTTCTTGCCTTCGTTGTATCAGAATTTGTCCAATCAGGCGGCTGCTCTTACGGCAGCTTGATCAGATAGGTATGTAACGAGACATCTGATTGGGCGACTAAAGCTATAGGATCCAGTCAGTCGAAAGTAATTAATGAAGGCTTTAGTAGCTAATACCATTGAGTACTTTGGCCTTGGTCCTGTTGTGAATAATTACAAGCACAGAATCTGCTCAGGGAAAAGCTATATGGCTAGTAGTACGTCGAGTAGATCTCGAGCATTTTAAAGTAAAAATGTGTAAAGTGGACAGAATGAAAACATTAGGCCAAGAGGAAAACTTGAACCCGATGTTCACACCCTTAAACTGTGGCTGTGTTGATAATGATGCCATGTTGATTTGATTACACATGTATATGGATGACATCTGCGCGCGCATGTATTTTTGGCCATTTCCAAAATAAAAAAAAGTTTTCAACCACACTGTAAATTGTACAAAACACTTATAGTGAGCAAATATAAACCATAAGTTGCCAAAAATGGAAAACGATACCAATATCGTAGAATGCCAAAATCAAATGATAAAGATGAAAATGTAAAGATTGCATTTGAAGAGTAGATTATTCGCCATACCATACTCTGTGTCATTTGTTCAACCTTTATAACCAAGTAGATTTCATAATGAAAGCAACTTTTGCCAAACTTTTTTATTATTCGCACGCGCGCATCAGTCTTGGGGTTCCCAGACGACGTCATGCATATAATCAAATCAACATGGCCTAATTCAGCATTACAGAACCAAGAAATTAAATTGGGCTGGCCTAAAGCTTGCTGTTCTGAACTTCAGATCTCCCATGAAACGGCTCTGTGCTTGATTGGGTCTATGGCATCAGGCTTTATCAAAATTCTGTATTTGGGTTCCCGTGCCTCTGGGAGTTGACTTCATTACAGGAATCACCTTCTGGCTTTGGCATACAAACAAACTGCAGAACGTTCCCCTGATAAAGTCCTACTGTTGGCATCAGTTGTCATTAATCAAGCCTACATATGCTGTTTAATACATACAGCTTTGTGTTTAACCAATGTTATTTTACAGCTGCTGCGCATAATCACATACACTGACTGTTGTATACATCTTCTTAATAAACTTTGCTTTGGGATACAAACAAACTGCAGAACATTCCCCTGATACAAACAAACTGCAGAACATTCCCCTGATACAGTCCTACTGTTGGTAATAGTCATCATTAATCAAGACCACATATGCTGTTTAATACATACAGATTTGTGTTTAACGAATGTGATTCTACAGCTGCTGCACACAATCACATACTGACTGTTAATGTACAGATTGATAATATACTTTCTTCGACCTATGCTGATGATAAAAATGCACCTGTAGAAATGATAAATATTCTGTAGTTACAAGCATTGTATGAATCACTAAGTACAGTAGGGGCATTGTCATAAGATATCTTTAAACAATGTCTAGAGTTAGATGTTCAAAGGTTAATAGGTGTGACAAGTCGATCGGTGTAATGTAGCCAGCTGCCGCCGCACCGTGTGCCTGCGAAGCTGGTGTGTTATGCTGAAGGGCGGTTATACCGGCTATACAGATACAGATACAGAATCAATGTAAGATCCTATCACTCAATAAATTTATAGGTTCAGATTATTATGATGTATGACTATAAATAGTTTCAGTGCGAGTCAAGTTATCTTATCTAAACAACCCAAACGCAGAATATCTTATCTGTAGTTAAGAGCACTGTTTGAATTATAGTTAGATCTCTATCACTCAATGATTTGATATGTTCGGTGTATAACTATGAATTATTTCAGTTAGAGTCCATCTTATCTTTACAACCTGAGTGTGAGATATTTTATCTCTCCTTTCCCTGAATTCCTACTATATCCATCCTTAAGGTTAAAGCTGCACCAGTATTGATTGATTTCAAAATACACACGTAATCAGATTATCTCTTCTTGCAGGTGAGTTTGAGTCTAACCTCAGCTTCACATACACGTATCTTTTGTATCACATCATTAGTAGTGATACTGTATTATTATCATCAGCCTCCTACAAGGGTTTTGTAAAGAGATTGCCTCTGAGATACTGTATTACGTATGATCACAGTTACTGTAATAGTGATACAGGGCTCAAAAACCCTCGTGCATCCGGCTATTTGTTGAAAAAGTATTTAATGACAGAAGTATTTCAAGCCCTGCAATGTTCATGTTGTATCTTTCTTTTCTTTTCTTTACTTTCTTTTCTTCATTCGTGACACCAAAAAGCAAACCTTACAGCAGGGATGAGACTCCCTGAATTGCAAAGAGTTTGCATACAAAATTACAATGGACAAGACAGGTGATATATACATCTCTCACATACACTATAATTTATTATTTTGTACCAAGTAAACCTTGTGACTTTATGTAGATGAGGTTTAGAAAAGATAAACGTGACTAGTGAAATGACAGTTCTTTGTTGTACAGGGTTATGGCCCGGTGAAGTACCCCCTGTTGTTTGCTGTAGGTATTGTTGTAGAAGACTATAAGAAAGTCTGTGCACTTTTATTATGTAGTAGTAAGATTTTCATGTTTTTTTTTTCTTCCTGCAGGTGTCCATTCCTGCGGCCCAGGTTGCGCAGGTTGCGGACAGCCTGCTGGGCGTGCAGGCTGCAGACGTGAAGCTGGCGGGGCTGGGTCCCAGGGACAGCCTCAGGCTGGAGGCGGGGCTCTGTCTCTATGGCAACGACATTGACGAGGACACCACGCCGGTGGAGGCCACCCTCCTGTGGACAGTAGGTGAGATATGTGGACTGAGAATGGAAATGGTTATCACTGTACCCTTCAATATCATTTTTTCCATAGCCAAATGCCAGTCTGTGTGTTTCCAGGGTCTACACAAAAAGCCCCTCAGCTCCAGGGCCTACACATGTACATAGGCCAGCTCCTTGGCTACAGAACCAACTTGCTCCCATGCAAGGAGTTTTTACTACAGTGCCCCAAACTATTTCCAGAGCCTACACAGGCCAGCTCCTCAGCTCCAGGGCCTACACAGGCCAGCTCCTTGGCTCCAGGGCCTACACAGGCCAGCTCCTCAGCTCCAGGGCCTACACAGGCCAGCTCCTTGGCTCCAGGGCCTACACAGGCTAGCTCCTCAGCTCCAGGGCCTACACAGGCCAGCTCCTTGGCTCCAGGACCAACACAGGCCAGCTCCTCAGCTCCAGGGCCTACACTGGCCAGCTTCTCAGCTACAGGGCCTACACAGGCCAGCTCCTCAGCTCCAGGGCCTAAGGCTGGCTCCTTGGCTCCAGGACCAACATGCTCTCATGCAAGGAGTGCATGCTTCAGCCCCCCAAACTATTTCCAGAGCTCACACAGGCCAGCTCCTCGGCTCCAGTGCCTACACAGGCCAGCTCCTTGGCTCCAGTGCCTACACAGGCCAGCTCCACAGCTCCAGTGCCTACACAGGCCAGCTCCTTGGCTGCAGGGCCTACATGCTCCCATGCACTTACTTTTTGCGACAGCCCCCCAAACTGTTTCCAGGACCTACAGAGGCCAGCTCCTCAGCTCCAGGGCCAACATGCCCCCATGCAAGAAAATTTTGCTATAGCCCCCTTGAATTAGACCTAAACCAGACTTAGTTTCCAGGGCCTACACAAGCCAGCTTCTCGGCTCCAGGGCCTACACAGGCCAGCTGCTCAGCTGCTCAGCTCCAGGGCCTACACAGGCCAGCTCCTCAGCTCCAGGGCCTACACAGGCCAGCTCCTTGGTTCCAGGGCCTACACAGGCCAGCTCCTTGACTCCAGGGCCTACACAGGCCAGCTCCTCAGCTCCAGGGCCTACACAGGCCAGCTGCTCAGCTCCAGGGCCTGCATGCTCCCATAAATGGAGTTTTTTCTACAGCCCTCCAAACCAAACTGTTTTCAGGGCCTACACAGGCCAGCTCTTCAGCTCCAGGGCCTGCACAGGCCAGCTCCTCGGCTCCAGGGCCAACAAGCCCCCGTGAGTTTTAGACCTACATGTAAACCAGGCTTAGTTCCCAGGGCCTACACAGGCCAGCTTCTCGGCTCCAGGACCTACACAGGCCAGCCCCTTAACCCATGAGTACAGGATCTAACTGAGGCTTATCTGTAGTAACAGTCTGGCATCCAGGCTACTCTTACCCCATGCAAATTTTATTAAGAGACTTGAGGTAGACGTCTCCATTTATTATTAGAGAAACCAATTTGACTGCATTAGTCCCTGAGGGCTTTAGTGCCAAGGACCTGATCCAAGGATAAAAAACAGGTTATTGGTGACAAATTGGATTTTGAAGTCCTGCAGTCCTCCTGGGATGTACTTCATCACTTCCTGCACATCTTAACTGCTACACTCCCCTGAGGAAATTTGACCTTGACGTGCTGAAGCTTGACCTTGACTTGGCGATGTCTCCTGAGAGACTTGACCTGGTGATGCCGCGTTTCTTTTTAGACTCGACTTTCTGCCCAAACTTGACATCAATTCCACTCAAATGTCATCAAACGTCCAAACTGACACACAGTTAGAAGTACATCATCAAGCCTTAAGGTTCAAAATGTGATTGTCAGTAGTATTGCAGTTTTAATCATCGATATGCAAAGTAGGACTTCACAAAATGCAATCTTGTTATAATACATTAGATTACATTAGATTGAACTGATATTGTCAGATCCGACTCATGGGAAGAAAAAGAAACCAAGAAAAAGAAGAATCAAATGATATGTTTTGCTAGTGTTTGTATATTTGTTGGTTGGTTTGTTGGATGGTTGGTGTGTTGGCCTTGATTCTATGGTATAGAATTGTAATTGCTAACTGCTAGATTACTGATCAATACCATTTCTGCATGCTCTCTCACTCTCTTCCAAAGCTTAGTCAGCCGTCGGGGCAGGATGTTGTTTGGCCAAGGTCTTCCACTGCTGATGGTCCTCTGCCAGTCTGGCCACCTGGTTGGCTGTTAGACTGGTCCACTCCTTTAAGTCTGTAATCCATGACTGACGGGGACGTCCCCGCGGCCGTGCGCCTTCCCCTGAAGAACTGTGTGTGAGAGTGTGCCTTTGGCCCCAGACACATGTCCAAACCACTGTAGTTTTTTCTTCTTAACTGTGGCCAGGAAGCTGTCTCCATATGCTACTTTACATGTCTTTATTTCACTGCAACACCTTGTGCACATGCACAGTACTAGTGTCCTTTTTTTTTTGTAGACTTCTCTCTAAACTATTGTTAACAACATGTCTACCATGAAACTTTTCGGAGTTCAGCACCTAAAGTCAGCAGGAACTTACTATTTCCATCTTATCTGTGCGGGCATTCAGTGCACCAGAAAACCTGGCTGCCAGCGATAACATGGTTTTTATTAGAAACTGTACAGCCCGACTTTGATGCATTTCAAGTCGAATGCAGCGGTATAAATGCGACAAGCCTGATACCCCTTCTGAAGATATCACAATCTTGAGCACATATCAGCTAAGATGGAACACCTTCGGGCGACCTTTTGACCTATATGTCTGAAGGCTGTTCCCTGAATTGCCGTCCCTCCCTGTGAGTGAGGACTGTTTGACGTAACAAAGCGTAGATTTGACAGTGATGTTCATCCAGCCAGCCCCCAGTTTTAATTGGCTATATGTTCCCCCTTCTCAGAGCTTTGTTGTGCGAATGGTTATCGGGTAATGTGTAGGCTAGTGTCAGAGGTCCATTTCGCTACAGCACGGAGATACATTCAACTAAGTCACGGCTCCAAATTCTCTTTGGGGGAATATTTGTGTTGATAAGCTAGAAATTTAAGTGGACAGAAAAACTTTTAGATGCACAACGTACAAAAATGAAAGATAAAGTACTGTCAGAAAATCCTAATACCTTATTTTTTATTGCCTTTCTCCATATAGTAAAATCTGAAATTCTATGTTACTTTATTGTAATCTTTCACCCATTGCCTACTTCAAAATAAGTATACAAAAAAAGTTTTAATTATTTTTTTCTAACAATTGAATTTCAAGCTTAACATTGCAGCTGTATACTACGGAATCCTATACAAATGTCTAGTTGCACTGGTGCCCCCACAGTCAAGAATTTTAACGTGCACAGCCCCAAATTTTGGTGCACAAAAGACAGCATATGCACCCAGTATTTCCTCCCTGAACTACATGTAAGTCCCTGAATACTAACGATATATACTAGCTATAGCCTCCATAGCATGCCAAAAACTGGGGGTTTGGGGGGGTCTTCATGGTCTTTGGGAGCTTTTATGCTATTTTCTGATTGCATGTAGACAACATAGCCGGTCTGGTTGAATTACCCCCGTTTTTCAATCAGAAAACAGCAGAAGACCACCAAACCCCCAGTTCTATAAGCCTGCTACGGAGGCTATAATGATACAGACCGCAGCAGTTGGTACGGATATGTGAACTTTCTGCAGGTATATATCACCGCACACGCTATAGCTAGTGGGAAAATTGGTGTAATTGTGCCTGACGCCGTCAGACGGGAAGTAGAGAGGCGCATCTGGCAACCTTTGGGTACAATTAACGTCAATCTGAGCTGCACAGCCTGGCAGTTGGGCCCACGTACAAGATCACAATTTCCTGGCTGACCTTTACAGATGTCAATTTTTGTCTCCACAAACTTAGTCCTGCATAACCTAGACAAGAACCGAGATAAAGGAAGAAAAATGAAAAGTTTACAGAGAAATCCAGGAATTCACACAAGTTTAGTTGGGCCCGCTACAAGATCAACATTTCCTGGCTGACCTTTACAGATGATTGTTTCCAAAAATTTCTCCTGCATAACCAGTACTACTAGCCGACTGCTGCCGACCCCTGTGGCAGGGACAACAGCAGCAGTATAATCAAATCCTGGATAGTTAAGTGAGTGAGTGAACCTAGACAAGAACCTAGACAAGAATCTAGACAAAAAAAGGCTTTGAAAAATGAAAATTTTACGAAGAAGTCCAGGAACAAGTTTAGTTGGGACTGTACATGTGTACAAGATCAAAATTCCCTGGTTGACCCTTAGAGATTTCACTATTTGTCTCCACAAAGTTTATACTGCATAGCTTAGACAATAAGTATAACCTAGACAAAGGAAGAAAAATGTCCAGGAACAAGTTTAGTTGGGACTGTGTGCAAGATTAAAATTTCCTGGCTGACCTTTAGAGATGTCAATTTTTGTCTCCAAAGTTTATCCTGGATAACCAGTACTATTAGCCAACTGCTGCCAACAGCAGCAGTATAATCAAATCCTGGATAGTGAGTGAGTGACTTAACCTAGACAAGAGTGTAGACAAAAGAAGGCTTTGAAAAATGAAAATTTTTTCAGAGAAGTCCAGGAACAAGTTTAGTTGGGCCCGCTACAAGATCAGAATTTCCTGGCTGACCTTAGAGATGTCACTTTTTGTCTCTACAAGGGTCGGTAGCTAAGGTAGCTATTTGGTGCCAATTGCAAATAGCTACCTTAGCAGGCTAAAGGTTAATTAAAGCATCTACATCTACTCTACTACCATCAATCTGCACACTGTAACAGTTTTGATGAAATTGTTTTTTTTTTCTGCAATATTAGATCAACTAGCCTGGGTACCATCCTACAATGTATTTGTATGCCGGGGCTCCCACACTCGCTTCCCTATAAACAAGTAGGATGGTACCCAGGCTATAGATCAACTGAAATGCCATATCATGTAATCCATATACATTGTATGCTGTGTGTCGAGAGACAATCTTGTAGTTTGAGCTATAGTGTGTTTGTCATATCACATTATTATAGCTATTGCCTGGGAGAAGAAATGTCAGAAATATCTGTACATGAAGCATTGAAGACTTCTTGTGCAGATATATTAAATTTCTGTCATGACAAATGATAGCAGCACTGTAGCCCCTTATAGGTAGTAAGTGTTCTGTGAGCACTAAGCATGAACATGTATATGCTGGGGTCAAAATACTTTTTGCCTCCAGTTAATTTTAGAAGTTTCAATCAAAATAGTTTCTTAATCAAACAAAAAACTTGTAGCAGAGGACTGAATCACAATGACATCTTCTTGCACAGAGCAACTTTCCATGGAATACCTGTACTAATACACATGAAGAGTTTAGTGAGAATATTTAATGTTAGGGTAGAACACGATTACATATTATTGGAATATGCAGTGTACATAATACTTTTTTGAACCAGGTTGCCCATGGCAAAAATTAGGTTGCCCATCAGAATTTTAGGTTGCCCCACCTACATGTACATGTATAAGTTACTACTTTCCTCAAATTAAGTAATGTTACATACATAAGCCTTTGACAATATTTCTAACAGCCTTTAGTTAACTGATACTGGTAATAGCCATTATAATACCTAAAATTTATAGCATCTGCCGGATACAGTGGTGCTAGCCAAGTGGGCCTGATTTCGTGGGGGGGGGGGGCATTCAGGTAGCGCACTGGGCTACCTACAGGTAAAATTTGCACGCTGAATATGATATCCTTTACGACCATGGGAGCACGGCATGCTATTACTGTAGTAATCAAGAGGTAATTTCCCGTTTCCTGCTCCAGTGAGTTCGAACAATGCTACTCAAACATCCGTAAAATTGTCCATGTTATGCTGGATTTTACATGATGACTGGTGGGATTTGTGTCGATCCCCAATGTTTTTTAGATTTTTATGATCATCCATGATTAGCCAGTTCAAGTTTGGTTTCTATTTTTAAATTGTTATGTTGATGAATATAATATGCTTATATTTGAGTTGTGTGAAAAGTCAAAGATTAAAATTTGGAGTAATAGCTGATTATTGAATGCCAAGACTGGTATTACAAGAATTACTGTTGATTTACATATAATTCTCAACAGGTATAATTCAAGTTTTTCCATAATTTAGATTTTATTCTTTTTATCTATTGCTGCATTCAGTGAAATTTCGACGTCTTACATTTTAGCCAAACGTAGGAGAGCAGAGTCCAACTTCCCAGGAGCTGGCATCATCCTCCAACAAATTAAGGACAAACCAAGCAGGAAGAGGGTAGGCATCACTTCAAAAGGGCCACCAGCAAGAGGCAAGTATACTCTTCTTCCCTGCTAGTGTTGTGAAATCATCCTGACCACCCCTGTAAAAAGACTTGGAAGATCCCAAGAACCAAGAAGAAAAGAGGATGAAATTTCCTCAGTTGAAATATTGAAGGAACTAAAAATGATACAGTCTGAACTAACGTGCCCTTAATTCAAGGAATTGTCAGTGCAATCTTCCAATGACTCAATTGCAACATGATAATGTCAAGTTAAATGGCAAAACAACAAGCTCAATATGTAGCAATTTTCTGGCTAACTCAAGAAATTAATCCAGTTGTGTTCGATGGCCTATCTGACTTGATATGACTACAGGAAAAGTTATTTCCCAATGCAGATATTGATGACTTGTGTGATTTGCTGGTAATGTTTGTTTTTAATAACCATTGGATGTAGGAGTATTAAATCTTACTGGCATGCTGACAACAGGGAATGGAGCTGGCAGAATAACAGATTGTATCTGTGGGATTTTATTTGAGTCTGAACTCAAGATTTGCCAGTAAGGTATTTGTCAAAAGGCACTATGTACTGGCGGAGATGTATGGAGATTGTTGTTGCCTCCAGGCAGGCAAGATCTAATCTTGAAGTTATAAACTTGCATAAAAGATGATATTAATCTTTAGCTGTATTTAATTTGTCCTGGTGTTTTCACTCCAGGTTTTTAAACATAATGCACACAAATTGTTTTAACTCTGTATGAAGCTATATCATTCTAAACAAATAATTATCTAGGTGCACTGATTCACCCATAGTCAGGAATAATTAAGGTGCACAACTCCAAATTTGGGTGCACACAAGACTGAGCATATGCACCCAGTAATTCTTCCCTGAACTAAGTCCGTGCAGATAAAATGTATTTTGTGATGTTGAATCTAAATGTTATTTGACTGCATGCTAATGGCTACCTGAACTTTTTTTAGTGAAAAGAAATTTTGATTTTTCTTTTTATTTGATACAATATGAGGATAATCACAAACTTTTCAACTGATAGAAGAGTCATAATACACAGCATAAGTGAGATCATAAAAAGTCATGTGTATCAAGATAAAAAGTTACTGGCAAAGTTTGTCAGCTTAGAAGGATGGATGTCTATAATGTATTTCCTTGCAATGTTCAAAATACCCAGTGATTTTCAAAATTGCAGAAGAAAAATCACACAATCTGCAATTATGCATTATTAGGTTGAGAAGGTTGTAGTACGGAGGCTTGTGTATTTGTAGAAAGTGTTTTCAAATTGTGGAACAAAATTTGACTCATCTACATGTAGTACAATATTGCAGAACAGTGAAAAAAAAAAAACATTTCTACCACAGCCTTGAAGTCCTCCATCTGACTTAAACACCTAAGAGTGATATATAGCCCTACTTGCAAACGACCAATTATGAGTAGAACGCAGGTCGTCTGTTAATGGATATGGCATCTTCAGGAGATGGGGCCGCATTAGTCAAAAGTCCATCCACTCTCCCTCTCCTCCAGTTAATTTCCTCTTTCTGGTGTCCTTTCTAAAAGTGGTAATGTCTTTTGGCTGACATTGACCGAGTCGGTGCTTGTCTAAGTACCTAATTTGTACACCAGTAAGGACTGCAACTCTTTTCAATACGTGTGATGGGATCATTGAGTATTTGAGGTGTGGCTACCCTCCAGCTTTACATGTACCTCCCATATTAGCAGACGTCCCTAACCAAAGTTAGATACTCATTTTCACCTGCGTAGAGTGAGGAAATACTGGTAGGTGTAAAGTGCCTTTCCCAAGGACGCAACACTGGGGACTGCCAGGGATTCGAACCCAGAACCTTCTGATTCTTAGTCAACAACCCTAACCACAAGTACCACATTGTTACACCCAAAAAATACCTGCTTTTCTGACAACTCTGCAGTGTCACTTATGAATTTCAAGGTAGCTAGTGGATGTTACCTGAAACATCTGACCATTTCCAAAATCATATCCAGTTGCTTGAGTAACTGTTTTTTTGGCATATGTTATTACCTGGATGTCTAACCTTCACCGACGTACCACATTACCACCTTATGTGCAACCGAATAGAAAGTTTGTGCCGGCTGCATGAAGAATGTACTTCAAGAGCCCAGACCATGCTGCAAGACCAACTTCTTTATTCCGCTGTCAGCTGCTCTATATACGCTCTTTTCGGACTGTCCATAGCTCCCTCGCAGTTCATTTGTCTTCCCTGTGCGCTGCCATCCCTCCAAGTCTTTGTTCATCGAGGATGTACATAATGTAGGAGTTTTATGGTCCAAGTTGGCGTCGGCTGTCTGCGGAGGCAGTTACGTGTCCACACATCAGTGCCAGGGTGTCACTTCGCCGAGCCATCCCTATCTGTCTTCTCTACTGCTGATTTACAGGAACATTTCCTCTGGACGCTCCTGCTATGTGTTACAGGCTCCATCAACAAATCAACAATACTCTCTCCAGGCATGGGCCAAAAACAGTTACTCAAGCAACTGGATATGATTTTGAAAATGGTCGGACGTTTCAGGTAGTATCCACTAGCTTTTGTCAGTGACACGAGACCAGAGGATAAATGCAGGTTTATAAGAACGAACCATACATTGAAATGTAAAAACATGAAGACCATTTTTGGGAAGTCCCTGGACGCTTATGCTATGTGTTAAAGCCTCCATCAACAAATCAAGAATACTCTCCAGGCAGAAGGTTGCAGTCTTTTCTACGATTCTGTGTAGTGCTGTGTAACTAAACCCACATTTAGGTTCAGGTCCGGATTCAAGTCCAGAGGTTTAGGTTCAGTTCCAGGCTCGTAAGTCCGGATCTTACCCAAATAATGGCATATACAAAATTGCATGTTGACAATCTTGCAATGTTGTTTTGGCAAAACTGTGGCCACATAACATGGAGATGACACTTGATGATGCCCATTGCAATGTTTTCTTCATTTTGCAGCTTACTAGTAGTCGGACACCAGAAAGTGGAGATAATTGTATAGATAATATCAAAAATCACAATACACATCCTGAAGTAATTTCATTCTCTGCAGATTAATTCCACTAAGTCAGGAAATCCGAGCTTTAAACGGCAGGCTCCAAGTTCAGACCAGTGGAAAATTCCGCGCTTTCAAAGTCATCCGAGTTTGACAAACGTTCTCTACGAATCAGTGTACCACATCCAAACGTAACCGCTGACCTCAGCTGATCCAAAGAGGGGAAGATTTAAAGGCATGTCCAACACAAATTGGCTGATTGCACCGTGGAGGGTTCTTTGTTTAACCCTGTCACATTTATCATGTGTTACTGAGGGTCTATCCGTGCCACGGTCTTGTCCATAACTTTGTTTCTCGATCCATATATCCTTTAGAGCTGGCAATTTGTTTCAATTCTAACCCATAACAGCATTTGATTTAGGGAATTAATTTAAAAGTAACTTCAATTCCCTGACTCAAAATGCTGTTACGAGTAATAGTGCAGTAATACTAGAAGGGTAGTAGGCTAAATGATTATCATAGGTTTCATTTGATACTCTGTTCTTGTCCGTAACTTTGTTTCTCAATCCATCTATCCTTTAGAGCAGGCAGTTAGTTTCAATTCCTACTTCGATTCCCTGAATCAAAATGCTGTTATTGGGTAATAGTATACTAATACTACATAGTAATGCTAGAAGGGAAGTTGGTTAAATGATTGTCAAATGATAGTCTTTCATATGAGCTTCATTTGATACTCTGTTCTTGTCCGTAACTTTGTTTCTCAATCCATCTATCCTTTAGAGCAGGCAGTTAGTTTCAATTCCTACTTCAATTCCCTGAATCAAAATGCTGTTATGGGTAATACTGTGGTAATACTAGAAGGGATGTTGGCTAAATTATTATATGATAGTCTTTCATATAAGTTTCATTTGATACTCTGTTTTTGTCCGTAACTTTGTTTCTCAATCCGTCTATCCTTAAGAGCTGGCAGTTTTATTCAATTCTTATTTCAATGCCCTGAATTAAAATGTTGTTATTGGGTAATACTATGGTAATACTAGAAGGGAAGTTGACTAAATGATTATCATATGATAGTCTTTCATATGTCTGTAACTTTGTTTCTCAATCCATCTAGCTGGTAGTTTGTTTCAATTCCTACTTCAATTCCCTGAATAAAAATGCTTAATGCTATACAATGATTATCATATGATAGTCTTTCATATAAGTTTCATTTGATACTCTGTTTTTGACCATAACTTTGTTTCTCAATCCATCTATCCTTTAGAGCTGGTAGTTTGATTTAATTCTTACTTCAATTCCCAGAATCAAAATGCTGTTATGAGTAATAAATGTAGTAATACTGGAAGGGCAGTTGGCTAAATGATTATCATTTGATAGTCTTTCACTCTGTTCTTGTCGGTAACTTTGTTTCTCAATCCATCTATCCTTAAGAGCTGGCAGTTTGATATAATTCTTACTTCAATTCCCTGAATCAAAATCATGCTGTTATTGGGTACTAGTGTAGTAATACTAGAAGGGAAGTGGGCTAAATGATTATCATGTCTTTCATATAAGTTTTATTTGATACTCTGTTTTTGTCCATAACTTTGTTTCTCAATCCATCTATCCCTTTGAACTGGCAGTTTGTTTCAATTCATTCATGTTATTGGGTAATACTGTAGTAATACTAGAAGGGAAGTTGGCTAAATGATTGTCTTTCATATAAGTTTCATTTGATACTCTGTTCTTGTCTGTAACTTTGTTTCTCAATCCATCTATCCTTTATAGCTGGTAGTTTGTTGCAATTCTTACTTCAATTCCCTGAATCAAAAATGACAAAATGCTGTTATTGGGCAATACTGTGGTAATACTGGAAGGGAAGTCAACTAAATGATATCATATGATAGTCTTTCATATACATTGTACTCTGTTCTTGTCGGTAACTTTGTTTCTCAATCCATCTAGCTAGTAGTTTGTTTCAATTCCTTCTTCAGTTTCCTGAATCAAAATGCTGTTATGGGTAATACTGTGGTAATACTAGAAGGGAAGTCCACTAAATGATTATCATGTCTTTCATATGAGTTTTGATACTCTGTTCTTGTCCGTAACTTTGTTTCTCAATTCATCTATCATTTAGAGCTGGCAGTTTGTTTCAATTCCTACTTCAATCCCTGAATCAAAATGCTGTTATGGGTAATACTGTGGTAATACTATAAGGGAAGTAGGCTAAATGTTTATCATATGATAGTCTTTCATATACACTGTTCTTGTCTGTAACTTTGTTTCTCAATCCATCTATCCTTTAGAATTAAAGCTGGCAGTTTGTTAAACAACTCTTACCTCAATTCCCTGAATCAAAATGCTGTTATGGGTAATAGTGTTACAGTAGTAATACTATAGAAGGGAAGTTTTTAATCTGCATCTGTATAGCCGGTATAACTGCCCTTTGGCGTAATACACCAGCTTCGAAGTTGGCTGAAAATAAATGATAATCATGTCTTTCATATAAGTTTCATTTAATACTCTGTTCTTGACTCCTGCTTTGAATCAAACTTGCTCCAGTTACATATTGTCATCATCAATTTTGTGTCAGTGTGTGATAGCTACTCAGAAATATAAGAAGTCGTATTGAGCAAGATTGATTTCATACGCCGAGAGCGCTGCGGGGACCGAGCGGGACTGGGGAAATTACAACTCACGGACGAATTCAGCCTCAGCCTCAACTTTTAATTGAAGATTTGTTCCTTGCGGCAGTCTTGACTCTCGCCGTCTGGGTAGACTGCCCCTCGTATGCATTATTCATCCCGGGTACACATCAGGAGCCAGAAATTACGTTTCCGTCTTGTGAGGCGACAACTTACCCGTCACTTTTCTGCTTGTAATTGCGAGTTAGAAGCTGTCCCGGGGGGCGGCAGTCATTGTTGATGCTCCGTAACCGAATCAAGCAGACCCAGGTAAAGCAATTAAGGCAGGATTGGACGGGATTCCCGTGAGAGGGCCATCTTCCCGCATCTTAGGGGCAGAGAAAGCGAGGGAAGTTTTGAAGATTAGGCGCTTGTGTCAAGTTTATTCATCTAGAATAGAGAAAGATTGATGATACATTCAAGTCTGAATATGTAGGTGTGCTCTTGATGCTTGATAATGGATTGTTTAAAGTTTATTCATGTAGTTTAGTTAGTGAAACATTGATGTTACATTCAGAACTGAATACGAATATGAATATCTGTGTCCTCTTGATGCTTGGTAATTGATTAAAGTTAACTCTTTGATGAAATTTACATCCATATGTATAGCAATCACTAATGAAGCAAACATGGTGAATATGAATTTCTTGTACTAAGAATAGGAAGATAACGGGACTAAAGGACATGTTAGCATATATATAGTATTTAAATTCATCCCTCCAGAAAGAACCATTAAAGAAATTTGAAAGGGGTGGTCAGGATATTGTCTATTTTCGTAACATAGTGGAATTACTTAATATATGGGTTTTCTGATTTTAAATCTCAGTAATATATATTGATTTAAACAAAAGAAACCCTTGATAAATGACAGAAAATATAATCAGTAGCATGCAGGCTGTTAAAATCAATATACTCTAAATCTTTTTATGTAGATGTTAAATCATGTACTGTGATTATAATCCTGATATTTTCTGTTTGTTTCCTTGTTTGTTCAGCTGGCACCACAATTCTCAGTGAAGACGGAACAAGTATAGGTAAGTAGACAACACATTTTGCATGAATCAAGAACAGCTGTACATACACTGGGAGGGCAGAGAATATGTTGTCCTTTCAACAGGCAGATTTGGTTACATAGGTGCTGCACTTGGTGCTGAAATTATTGTTGCATGAATCAATGTGAAATCGGACAGGCCAACAGTTTCTGTGGTTACACACTTCATTGTCAGGAGAAGACAGGAGAAATTCTATCACAAATCTGACAAATTAGATGGGTGCTGCACTTGGTGCTGATTTGATTGTTGCATGTGGAGTTTTAGAAGGGAGGTAAAATGTGACACACCGACAGTTTCTGGTTACACACTCCAATGACTCCATCATCAGGATAAGACAGTATTCGTCATTAATCTACATTGGAGAGGTTACCTAAAAACAAAACTACTGCAAAGTTTCTCAATTTATAGTAAGCCATACCTCACTTCATGATGGTCTCTGTTTCATTCTGATCATTCTCCTGATAGACTGTTTGAAAATTGAAGCCCTGCAGGATAGGGTTTGCAGATAGTATTATCTGACATTGCTACATCTTGTGTCTTTGACAGAATTGTGCAATGCATACATTTACTGCATTGGCACTGTCCTTGGTGCTGAACTATAATGCACAACATAAGCAAGCAATGGTAGTATTCATAGTATGGTTAAAAACTTAGTGCAAAGGCACATATAACATTGTCCTTATATCAGCTGCCACTAATATAAATGTAGGCTCATTTATTTTAAGTGAACCATTGTAGGATAATGGCCCATGCATATCAATGTACATGTACCAGCATTGCTTACTTCATAATTGTACTATTGTTTGACTTACCATTGAAATAGGTTAGACTGTTGCCAATGCTTTGCGTGAGAGTCGGCAGAGGCTATAATGCCTTCTGAAGGACGTAATGAAATCAGTTGATGACATTATAGAACTGTGATAGTCCTCTATACAGCCTTATCACAGAAATGCTCCCTAAATCAATATAATCCATTAGCCCTAGATCTGTGTGAAGAAAACCCAGGGCTTGAAATACCACAGGTTAGTGCAGATAGAATTTGGGCTGTGCATTTCTGTTGTGTACCTGTACCTAACCTCCACTGGTCCATGTACTGGGTATATGCAGGTTAGTGCAGGTAAAACTGGAGCTATGCAGGTATTTCTGATGTTTACCTGTACCTAGCCTCCACTTGGGCACGTACTAAGTACATTATTGCTTTGTTATTTTTTTCTTTATTGACTGTTGTCAGATGTGAAATACCAAGGAAAGAATTTTAATGGTTTCTAAAATAGTAACCAATGTGATTCATACTGCATGCCCGAAATCCTTTTCTGATAGTGTCCTTCCAACCTTGGCCTTCAAAAAGTCATACACAGAAAGGGAAAGAAAATGAGTGGTGCGGGTAATTATGGATGCAGCTTGCATCATCGCAGGACTGCAGATGAAAAGTATTTGGAGCCCCGGTAATGCATTAGTGCCAGATCTGTGTGAAGAAAAGCATTACTGTGGGAAGGCAGAAGACAGATGGAAACCTGAATCCTGAAGTATGACTCCAGGCAGCCGGGCACGGATAAACACACACACTCCATCAGTGTCAGTCCCTCACCTACATCACAGGGAGGATGGGTTTTCTCTGAAGTAAACCGATCGCAGGGCTGTCAGTAACCTGGTATCCAGTCTATCGTGGTTGGGGTGGATTTTCTACGGCGCTGCTAAAGCTCTTTCCAGCCAAAGTATTGGCATTTAAGAGAACATACTAAAGCTAAAAAAAGCTGGCATCCTGTGGCTACACTTTAAAAAGTCAGCACTGTCTCCCTGCTCTATTTTTCTAGAAAAAAAACAACTGGTAGAAATCTCATTTATCTTACAAGGTATCTAGAATTTGTAGGAGGTGATTTGTTTGCAAAAAAAAAAAATTAGTTGCAGATAATTTTTTGTATTCTTATATGTCGCCTGAGTCTGTAAAATGAATTGGATCATAATCAATTAACTCAGGTGATGAAATAATTGGAGTGGATGAACCTATAAACCAATTGCTTGGAACAGCAAGAACTAATTTAGTAGAATCACATTTCCCTGCTATGAAAGACTTCTTGTCTTCTCCCATTCTGCTCCGTGAATTCGACAAGTGGAACACCAACCATCAAAATGGGAAATCGATGCCGTTATTGGAGCAATCAGGAACCGTTCGGCATCACCCCGGGGTCCTCCCGCTGAATGGCAGGCTTTCTGGCCGTCTTAGATCCAACACGGATAAGATATTCAACCCAGGGGAGCCCATTACATCAATACTACATGTTTTAACTCTGTGGACATATTGCGCCGGGGTGGCAATATCCATAATGGGGTTTACTGCATGTCAGAAAATCGCTCGGCTGGAGCCAAGCTGTTTGTTTCCTTGTCTGAAGGTAATTGGTCCGGCGGGGGAATCGTCTGATTGTTTGTTTGCTTGTTATTAGAGCTGTGTACCTAAACAAATTTTAGGTACAGGTACAGGTACAGGTACACAGGTTTAGGTACAGGTCCGGACCTGAACCTGTACCTGAACAATTCGACCAATTTATATGCTCTTCTGAACTCCTTCAATAACAAAAAAACATAAATAAACTTGATAGTTAAGGTTTATTCTTTGTTTATGGCGAATGCTCAGATGAAATATAGGCAAAACTAAGTTGTTTTTGTTTTCATGAACACACTGTCCTTACACAGGGACCCATTGTGGACCAGCTATTTACACATTTGAGGTCACAAATAGGCATAAAATTAGTGTGAAATTGTTTAGGTACAGTACCGGTACTGAGGGATTAGGTATTTTGGACCTGTACCTAATCAATTTTTCCGGTACAGTATCGGTACTGCGTACCGGTACACAGCTCTACTTGTTATACATTGTATATGGATAAAACTGGAAAGGTAACATTTTGCAAAGCAAATGCATGATGTTTACCTTGCATTGGCATCTGATCTGTTAATTAATCTTTACTCAAACACATTCATGTATATATAGTGACTGGAGTATAAATCCCTCCTGCTATAAAATTGCAACATGATTTAACCCAACACCATGGTGATAGACTGGTTGAGGTCATTGACCTTATGTGTTTGAAAAAGAGGAACCTGAGCAAAAACACAAAATACTGTTTAGCATATAACATACCAGTTCTGTACTGGTAAGTACTGGACAGGTACATGTACTAGAGAATTTGAAAACTTGCCTCATTAAAAGTTAGAAACCCTGCGCATACATTCCTCTACTGTTACTCTAACTCTTCAGCATTCTAAAATCTTTAAACTTGTCCTTGAATTGATCCCTACAAGCCATTTTGATTGGTCCAATGTTGGCCTGACCTTGGAGGTGACCTCCCATCATGCATAGCTGCCCAACTGTCTCACAAGTCTGAAGAATCTTTACCCAGGGGTTGGCCGTTGGGTTTGGGGTGAAGAACAAGCAATTAAGGAAATGTCAGCTTTCCATTTTGAGTCCACTAAAAGAATATATTTCCTTTAGGAATCGAAGGCACAAGGCCAGCGCTATTAAAGAAGTATAGTAAGACCTCTTCAGATGGAGAGGCCATGTACATGTATAATGCAAAGGACTGGTGTGGAAATAGCTTATTGAAGAGTCAAGTCAACAGAACTTGTCGTTTTGAGTAGACCAGGGAGGTTTGCTTGGAGCAGTGTGGAATTGGAAAAAGAAAATTACTCAGCAAACCTATAATTTATTACAATGAGAACTAAGATTTTTAAAAATGCCACAGATGTACATGTAGTTGTACCTGACATGTGTGCAGCTATTTAAGTAATACTATTAAAGGAAAGGGTCTCTATTCAAAGAAACACTACAGTAATACACAGTAATACATAACCCAATCAGAAAGTTTTGCCAATGAACAAATTTGCTTTGTCATCTCTATTAATCAAAGAACAGTAGTAATAAAAACTAGGAACGACAAACAATTAAGAGCAGTCGTGGTTCATTTCAGTTGCAGACATCAGATCGACAGATCGCAGTGTTTGATGTAAGGAGTGTGATTAATTTGTGGTTTAACAATCTTGAACACTTCAGAGAGTCTCCTAATGGGGTCTGTATACCAGCTCCCAATCAGGCAATTCCCTCACAGCTTGATGCACTTGGTTGGGTTCAGAATCACAGCGCAGTAAGGCCACGTCGACTTAATTTTTTGGATGGCATCCACGCGCGCATTGATTTTTGCCTGTTCTCAAAAAAAAAAAAAAGATCACGTCCACCTAGGCTCTGGCCTAGCTCTAGGCCTGGGTAGTCCATGGTAGTTAGCGACAAAACGGAGCCGGGCACCCAGGCTACAAAAGCTCCACGACTCAAGAACTCAGTACATACGTGCAGTGCCAATTGATAAATTCTGCAAAAAGGCAGCATGTGCCGGCTTGTATACGTCGCTACATGTATGTACTGCTGGAAATTCACAATACCAGCTTTGTATTCCTGTGGTTTAGTAGCACTTTTATTGGCCGGAATTTTTGTTTTATTCGCCCGCGCGCACTAGTTTGGGGGACTTCAGAGGATGTCATCCATAAAATTAAGTCAGTGTGGCCTAACCGGTAAGAAAACGCGGCTGTTAAAAGGCAGGCAGAAGTGCACTGAGCTGTAGATAGAACACACATGTACACCACACATCATCATCAGTAGTCATTCAGCATCTCCTGAAGGTCACGACAGCAATATCGGGATGATGGAGTTAGGGAAGTTTCTTATAGGCATCCGGTACAGTTTTTAAAAGCCAATATTCTCTAGTCATTTATCTACATACTGAGTTGAAACTACACTATCCCAATGTATTTAGACCCTCATGGAGCAAAAATACCCAAAATTCTGACGGAAAATGGTTACTGAAAGGGCCCTGGGCTGATTTTTGGGGTACCACCCAGAAAATACAGGACTCATCTTGGGACTTGTTTCTGCAGAGTATGAAATACTGATTTAAATGTGCTAATGTGAAAGAGTATGTGTCAATATCACAAAGATTGCCTTATTCAGAATATTTACAATTTTCCACCATGAAATCGCATAGGATACCTTTAAGTACCCACAGGATGAGCAGCTATGCGTCTTCTGCTTTGCTGCAGCAGCACTGCTATAATTTTGTACTCCAGGGGAGTATTAATTCTGACAGTGAGTGCGAGAGAGTGCTATATAATGGTAAACCCTGGCATTTACACGTCATATTATTTCTCTTCCGCTACAACAAGCTGGATCACTTTCAAGTTGCAAGTTTCCCTCCTAGAGGTGTTGTGAATGCAACCAGAATGTTTTGGATGCTGTACGAATATTCATAATTCAGTCATACATGTACGATTATTCTAGCTGGCTCTAAGTTGTAACTTGTTGGGTTTGACTCCTTTTTCTGAGACAGTGAAACAGCCAATAAAAAAATGCAACAACAAGAAAGTTTTACAGATCGTAACAGAAGATAATGTAACAATGCTTTCGGCGATACTAAAGCATAAAGAGCTTCCCTTTCCAACAAAGTCAATACTCTGACTCCAAGACAGAGCCCTTACGACTCCCGGAGCCAGAGCAACAGTAACGGCTGTCAAGACTGTTATTGACAGTGAAAGGGCAGCTTCCCCATTGATTTTTACGGTCCTAAACTTTTCCCTTATGAATAATGGATGTTTGGGAAGGATCTTCATCAGACATCTCCTGTCCTGGGGGACATGCAGGCATGAAATGGCACGGCACACAGAGAAGTGAGAGATAAGAACTGAAGAAATGGCTGTACACTCCACACCTCTACTGGGTCAATAGCTGACTGCACCTGGGGGTGACCGTTGCAAATTCAGCACCTAAATCATCTCAGAAATGGTGGATTCCTCACATGGAGGATGAAATCCAGACAGCTCAGTAACAAACCCAACAAGTTAGAGCCAGCTTTTAGACTAGAATAATCACATGTTACATATATATGTAGAGAGAGAGATTATGTATCGTGCTTCATCGTTTGTCTTTTTCTTTTACTTGCAATTAGCCCTTGGGCAAGAATTTGCAATACAAGTTGCTATGATTACAGATAGTAGGACAAAAGGGAAATGTTTCAGGTAAAGAGAAAATTGTCACACAATTGTAAGGAAGTTACAAAGAAACTTTCACTCGAAAAGGGAAGGTCTTGATTTGGTTTGTTTTTCTTTTTAATGCCCATGATCATGATAAAGATCATTCTGGCATGCTCATTTTTATCTGAGTAAAGTGAGGAAAGTCGTGTAAAGTGCCTTTCCCAGGGGCACAAGATCGGTGACAAGGTAGGGTTCGAACCCGGGACTCTTAGTTTCGAGCCGAACATGCTACCGCTATGCCACACGAGCCCGTTGATGAGTCCACGATCATGATAATGATCATTTTGGCATGATAATTTTGGCATGCTCAGTTTCACCTGAGTATAAGTGAGGAAAGTCGTGTTAAGCCTTTCCCAGGGGCACAAGATCAGTGACAAGGTAGGGTTCGAACCCGGGACCTCTTGATTCCGAGCCGAACATGCTACCATTACGCCACACGACCCCACAGACTGGCGAGAAAGTTGTCGGTAAATTTCATATATGTTCAACTAATCTAATATCACAAAGCACAAATACGCCCTATGAGATACCTTCTATCTCCTGTGCTCTTAAGAGGGGAGACTTATATTTTGTACCTACTGTTTCTTAATTGAATTTCTTCGTTATTGCACCTTTAAAACTGGCTGTAACATATATCGTTCAACAGTTTACTTTGCTACTTGTAAAGACAGGAGTGCCCGGCAGCGTGCAACTTCCACGGAGATAAGAAAACTGGAACATGCTACCGCTATGCCACACGACCCCATTCATTGATGAGTCTGAGCATGTCCCAATATCGCCATCGGAAATCTAATTCATGGACACTGAACCTGACATTCATCTGGCAGCCGTAATGGTCGGTAGATGAAGGCAGTTTGCGAGGAATCAATCTTCCTGAACGCTTCACCTTTGAAGTCGGCGGAAAGCGGGTCCGCTAGGAAAGCTTCGGATCTACAAGGTCATGATATCATGAAGGGCCCCACAAAATTGAGCGATGCAGGTGGCATGCAGATGTACCAAAGGCAGGGCTCGATATTAACAATAAATGCAACTACATTCTCAGGGGAGATAACCAATACAGTGTTCAAATAGGAAAATACATTAAAGAATGTTTCGATCTTAGAAAACACATGTTAGAGAATAGTTAACCTTTATTGTTACATCATACATATACTCTGTACGTAAGATGACGTTATCCACACATGTATTTAGCTTTGTTAGATCTTTAGTTAAGTTGTAGAAGACCATACACAAGTCTCTGTACTTTTTCTGTCAATAAAGAATCTATTCTTCCTATTGTCCCAGCACTGTCCCCAAAATAAATTTCAATTGTCCCAAAGTGAGGATGAACTGTCCCAACCTGTTTTTTTTAATTATTGTATGACTTAAGCTCGAAGTCAGCTTGATGTTGCTTAATGTTGCTCATTCCTAGGTGCACTATAACTGCAGAGTAGACAGGAAATTAGGTGGGACTTTTCTGGATCAAAAATACGGGACGTGTGACTGATAATTATAATTATAGACAAAAGAAGGGCTGACATTCTGATGTTCATTATGTCTCTATTGTCCCAACACTGTCCCAAAGTGTGTTTTATAGTTGTCCCAGCCTAAATTTTAGCGTCAGTGGCCATTGGACCACCTTTGATTTTGAGCCCTGCGAAGGCTGTGTGTGTTTGGTCTTTGGGAGTTCAGGAGATCAGTCTGCAATCTTGTTGTAACGCGCTCTGTTGAGTACAAGGATGGAAACCTGATGACCTCATTTGCAGCAAAGTTTGTTTGACAAATTTTGGGTCGGCTGTCCACACTTCTGTAGATCTGCCTTGCAGGTACAACATGAAAATGTTATATAGAGCCATAATGGAGTTTGTCATTTGTTGCAGTATAAGACAAGCAGTTGCATTGCATGGTTGGACCATGTAAATACATGACCAATGCATGACTATATAACTTTGGCAATTGAAAGTGAAAGACAGTGATCTCAAACCAGTTTAGCTCACTGAAGAGCTGATCTTCCACTGGTCGTGACAGAGAAGATTAGATGCTATGTACAGTATTTACAGGTTCATTGTACCGGGGAAATTCCCCTAGCTCTTCTCTACAAGCACAATGAACAGTGGATTACAGGGCATTTCTGAAAAGCAGTGTTTTTAAATAGCACTGAGGTAACTACCCTGTTTAAATAAAACAGAAATAAATAAATAGATAAATTACAGCTTAATGTCCCATCCTAAGGTCTGCAACCCTAAACAGTAGCGTGCATGTAGAGTTTTAATTTTCTATGAGTATTTCCTGAGTCTACTTGTATGATTTGTGTTGGTTGATGTATCCACTAATCTGATGACATCTTCCTCGCAGGTGTGGTGACCAGCGGTTGTCCGTCCCCGTCCCTGAAGAAGAACGTCGCCATGGGTTACGTGCAGACGGTGTTCGCCAAGGCCGGCACACCCCTGAAGCTGGAGGTCCGGGGAAAGCAGGTCCCGGCACAGGTGTCCAAGATGCCCTTCGTCCCCGCTAACTACTACTACGGGAAATAAGCATAGTACACATACATGTACACACATGTACACTCAAACACATGTTTAAAGTTACTTTTGATCTAACACAAAAAAGTTCTCTCACCTAGAGCTTTTGACCAGTCACTCTGGCCTTCCTCAGTAGACTGACCTAGTGAAGCTTGTCATGTGGCTTCTTTGAAGTGTGACATCAACACTGGGTCAGCAAAAACACATGTTTTTTAATCATTCTGAAGCAAAGTTGAATTGTAGTTTCCACTACAGACTTGTTCAATGAATGACTGCGACTGAATTTGGGCAGTACAACATAAATGCTTCAGAATGATTTCTACCAGTAACAAAGGTTCAAGCTTCAAACGGTCTTGTTGAATTTTGCTGCGATGATCCTGGATGGTGAAATGTTGATGCTAACAATCTGCTGCTGAAATCAACAAGAAGATAACCTGGGTGATGTGCCATTGGGGTGTTATAATTACTTGCATGGGGAAGTGAAGCTTTTGAATCTTGTTCAACTTCCCTGTGATACAATTAGGTTTTGGGTGCATAACAGGTGAGATGTGGAAAGTTTTAGGGGGCTAAAATCTGGATATAAGGCAGCTACGGTAAAAGCAAACAAACATTGGGTGTTACAGTAGTCTCCACAAGACTAACAACTTAGACTTAGGGGCTCACATGTTTTCCAACAAACAACACAGACCATTTTCAGCCCTAGTCTGGTGGAGACTATCTTTGATGGTCCGTGCCACGAGTCCCACAAGTATTAACCTCTCCATAAAGAGAGATAGACAACAATCTATGCCGTGTTGTGCTCTGCATTACCACCCAAGTGCCTGGTCAATCCAGCGGTAATCTTAATGAAAATCTGCTGGTGTTGGGTTATAATGACAGCCTATAGCTAGAAGTGGATAAGATAGAGGTGTAGTATTAGTTGCTACCCACTGTAATATACATGAGACTGTCAACGGTCAGAACACTACTGGTAACTTCTCAACTTAAGCTGAGTTTAGTTTAGCCAGGCAAGTATGCCTCAACTGTGACCTGTTTTTTCAGGTACCTGTTTTGTTGGATAAAACAACCAAAGATAGTATGTTTAGAGTTTTAAAAAACTTAAGATCCAACACAAAAAGTTCTCTCACCTAGAGCTTTCGACCAGTCACTCTGGTCTTCGTCAGTTGACTGACCCAGTGAGACTTGTCACGTGGCTTCTTTGGGAGAGCTATATACATCAGGGCCCATCACCCTTCACTGAACCATGACGGCGGCCAACATCATCTACCAGATACCTTTGGCCCAGTGTTGACGTCACACTTCAAAGAAGCCATGTGACAAATCTCACCGGATCAGTCTACTGAGGAAGACCAGAGTGACTGGTCGAAAGCTCTAGGTGAGAGAACATTTTGTGGTGGACCAAAAGTTTTAACTCTAAACATGTAAGAACTTTCATGATAGTATAAGGAGGATAGTATTTTACATGATTTTGATAATGTCTCCTTGCGTGCAATGCTTTCATCCTATCACTCCTTATAATGTTACTCATAGAGTACTACTGTTCCAAAAATGTATATGCATGTCTGTCAAAACTTACCCTTAAGTAGCTTAAAGCATATCATGACAAGCCATATGTTCGACATCGCATGAGTATCAAGATAGATTTTGTACAGTTAATGCAGTAATTAAGTAAGCCTTGTGTGGCTTACGCAACGTTACTCTATGAATCTCTGGTTCATAGCTTTGCAATCTATTATGACTAAGAGTGCCTACTGTAATCCTGCCATATGTTCCATTAAGTGAACATACGAGTCAAGCATGTGCAAGTCACAGCAGGAATGGATAAGATATACAGCTGCTGTGTTGCATAACAGACAAGCTTGTCTAAGGCCACACCGATTTAATTTTATGGATGACATCCGCGCGTGCATTGATTTTTGCCTGTTCTCATAAAAAAAGTCGAGGCTCTGGCCTGGGTGCCATCCTCCTACTCCATGGTAGCCAGCGACAATAGGGAGCCGGAACAGGTGTTCACCGGCGGTAACTACGGAGGACAGCACCCAGGCTGCCAAAGCTCCACGGAACTCAAGAACTCAGTACAGTGCCGACTCAGAAATGCCACAAAAGGCCAGCATGTGTCAGCTTGTCTGAAAAGTCGCCATGTACTACTGCAATTCACAAGACAAGTTTTGTATTCCTATGGTATAGCTGCATTTTTTTTTTTGGCTGGAATTTTTTTTTATTCGCTCACGCACACTAGCTTGGGTGTCTTCAGAGGATGCCATCCATATTAAGAATTAAGTCGGTGTGGCCTATGTTGAACTGTATTACCTCAAATAGATGTATTACACAGTCGATCTCTCTGCTGTCTGATGTATGCTCTCTGTTTTATACCCTTAATCCTCCATACTGCAGTGTGGTGATCATCAGGTGGGCAATTAGGGGTTCTACACAAGGCTACAGCAAGTAGATTTTATGGATGACATCCTCCGCAGACTCCAAATCCAATGCGAGCGGGCAAAAAAAAAAAACAAGGTGGGCCGAAAAAACAAGATTCCTACAGTTTGAAATTTTGACTCAATCATTGTACAAATGGTTTTGGTTCAGTGGGAACATCACATATACACAGCCAGCATCACATATCACTGCATCAAAGTATTAAGAAACAAAACATAAAATCAGAGCCTTCTCCTCTCTTCATATTTATCTGCCATCCACCTTCCTGCATGGCAGCAGACATCTTTGCCCATTTTCGGCATGTTGACCACTGTCAGAAGGCAACAAATTTCTTTTTTTTCCAAAATCAGTGAGAATTAATGCGTGCCCTGAGTGATGTCATCCATAAAAATAACTTGCTGTGGCCCAACGTTATAATGCTTGCCGCAAAGTGCGGTTAACGACAGAAGAAGCCAGAGGACACGTTATTCCTGAGTACGGGTGGACTTTAGATAATTACAGTTACAGAATTTACAATACACAAAGGTGATTATTAATATCATCTATCATTGACAGGGTGTGCAGGGTTAAGAGTTGTCTTGTTTTTCACTGTGTCTTCTGTAGCTCTTGTCATCTTGGTAAAGTGTGGTCTCATCAGTCGTTTCTTTACTGTAAGTAGAAGTTTAATAGCGTGACTTGGTATGGCAAAACCTTTGTTCATAGCAAATATGATTATAAACATGTTATGATGATATACAAAGAGTTCTAACAGATTTTCTTCATTCTTGAGCGGATCTTAAACAGCTACTAAATTTTTCTAAAATACTACCATATCTAACCTTCTCCCTGCTGCCTGACCCCATAACCTACATGTATACAAATATGTTGCCAACTGGCTACCTTAGCAGGCTGAAAGTTAATTCACAACTCCTGTGTTACTATCTCTTAACAGTTGAGAGTTCATCCAATTAACTCTACTTCGTAAATCGTTGCAGACTCAGATCATACTGTAATCCAGACACATCTAGAGGCTCAGGCCGAAGCGCAGAGTGAATTTGTAGTGCCTGCGGTGATTCGTACCGAACCCGGCAACCCTATACTTTACTATACTTTACACCGTATGAGGCAATTTCCAACTCACTAATGAGCTGAGCCCCGCGTTAGTGCGGTGTGCAGCAAGTGGTAGTTGTGAAGTTTTCAAGGCGTGTGATCGTCCTATGTGGTTAGGATTTGACGCTCTCACCGCCAAGGCCCGGGTTCGATTCCCGGCGTGGGAACCACTGTAAGAATTAGGAGAGTAGAAACAGAGAGACACTCCTGGTCCCGGGCCGGGGTTCGAACCCACGCCAGCACCAGCTCATAATATAACCCGCACGCTCTAACCATTCGGCTAAAAGGTCTATACCCCTCGGCCGGATTAGTTGGTAGCACCTATAAACCCCGCACCGTTACACTACTCCCCCTTTTCTTTTCAAGATTCGTCCTCGAATCTTCAGAATCCGACATCCCTGGAGCGGCACTCAGCCTATAAACCCCCACTGTCACTGACACTGTTACAAAGTTTTAAGGAAGGCATGTGATCGCCCGTGTGCGCTGAAGATACGCGCGTAACAAGCTGTTTCCGGCATCGGGAGTTATAAGAAGAAAGTTCTGCGGTACACGCTGAGGTTAATGACATACGTTGTGGAGCAGATGTGAAAAGGAAGGAAATTCTAGCGGATGTTAGTTAGTTAAGAAAGGCTTTCAGATGGAAAGTAGTTAGGGCTTTAATAGCACTTAAATGTAATGGGGCTAACTCATATATTACATGTCTATGGCGGTGGTCTTTCTCATCATGACAGATCAAGACACGTCTGAGATTCACAGCAAATACAGATGTACGTGGGAGCTTCAGATTTCAAACTCCTGCAAGTTGTTACGTTAGAGAACCCAACACACTCATCGACAAGAGGGCGAGTAATACTGAGGTCATATTTCCAAACCGGGGCCCGGCCGGGCTGTTTCGATTAACGAAGAATCAACAATTTATATCAAGAATATACGCAGATAGTTCCCATTATTAATTTTTTCAACTTTTGTGTGCTTTTCTTGTCTTTCATATCATAATTTTCGTTCCATAAGACTGCCCGGTCGGGCCCCGGTTTGGAAATGTGTCCTCAGCATAAGCCTATGTGCTTGGGGCCATTGTCACAGTTTACGTTCCCATGATCAACCAATGACCAAAACGAACAGCATCGACATATTACTAGTCTGTACACGTGTGACACAAAGAAGTACGCGCTTTCTGTTTTAAAACAGTTTTTACTGCCCTTCCAATGTTTTATTGGAAGTATGACAGAACTTGGCTCAGCTCATTGATTTCACACCCCGGCACCAGACTTGTAACTTGGCACCAAGAGTTATCAGGCGTTATATAGCATATACTAGTAGCATATATAGCATACACCGTTAGGTTTTAGTATAGCCTACGCACGACCGCCTGACGGTAAAGCGCCATATTCAAGCCTCATTTGCTGACATAACGCGTCGCCACCTGTACTTGATATCACGAAGACGCGTGTGTAATGTACAAGTTATACCCACCTTACCACTGAGGCGGCGACCGAC